ACGTGTTGGCCAGGTGCCTGCCCCCCGGATCGTGGTCCGACTCTGGCACGACTTCCTGAGCTCCTAAGTCTGAAAAGCGGGGCATGAAGTTGGGGGGCTTGGGGATGCCCTAAGGCTTCGCAGGGCCAGGTGTGAGAGAGGGACCGGCTGCGTGCTGGAGCAGCCCCAAGGCCAAAGGGGTGCCTAGCAACCGTGTGCTGGGAGTAGCCATGGCAGGTGCCCTGACCCCTGACCTCTGACCTCTGACCCGCTCAGTACCCAGCTCAGCCTCACTGAGGTGCGTTACAAGGATGGGAGTTAAAGCCACTCCTTCCCCACTCTAGGTCCAAACCATTTCCTCCGCCGGGAGATGTGAGAGAGGACACTCCAGCTGAGAAGGTAAGAAAAATCCCAGAGCCTGGGGAGGAAGGGGCAGCCCAGACCAGCCCAGAGCAGAGATGAGCTTGCTGTTTCATATGGAATATCTGACCTCTGATGTCAGTGCTTGTATGTTTATACACATAATAAATGCATATATAATACAAATACATAAATGTATATATATATATTTATGTAGTTTTTTCTGTTTTTTTTTTCTTTTTGGGTCACACCTGGCGATGCTCAGGGGTTACTCCTGGCTCATGCACTCAGGAATTACTCCTGGCGGTGCTCGGGGAACTGTATGGGATACTGAGAATTGAACCCAGGTTGGCCGTATGCAAGGCAAACGCCCTACCTATTGTGCTATCGCTCCAGCCCCTATATATATAGTTTGTCTTTGGGGACCATACCTGTGCTCAGGGGTTACTCGAAATGGGACTTTTGGGGGACCCTGGGGTGCCAGGGCTGAAAGCTGGATCAGCTGCGTGTAAGAAGGTGCCTTGATCCCTGTATTCTCTCTCTGGCCACCTGAGTGTTTTTTTTTTTAATTAAACACCCACCATGGCACTGTGGGCATTTGGGGCCCTCCCAGTGATGCCCCACAGTGCCAGCCTTTCAGTTTGGTGCTGGTGCCCAGCCTCCAGGGACACACCTGTAGTACTTGGGGGGCAACTTGTGGTATCAAGGATCCAAATCAAGGACCCCAATGCTACAGTATGCTCTGCCACTGAGCCAGCCCCAGCCCTGTATGGTCATTACTATTATTTTGGTTTTTAGGTCATATCCAGTGGTGCTCAGGGGTCACTCCTGGCTCTTGGCTCCAGAGTGATCCCTTGGCAGTGTTCAGGGGACCATCTAGGGTTTGGCCACATGCACCCCTATATTATTGCTCTAGGTTCCTGGAAGCTCAATGTTATTATTCTTTAATTCGTATTTGGGGGCCTCCTAAACAGTGCCAGATGCCACTAGGGTCACCACAGTTGTGCTTGAAGGAGTATGCAGTGCCAGGAATCGAACCCTGGGCCTCTGCATGACAGGCACGCCTGTGAGCTCTCTCCCCAGTTCAGCCTCATTATTTTTTGGTTTTGGGGCCATACCCAGCAATGCTCAGGGGTTACTCCTGGCTCTGTGTTCAGGAACTACTCCTGCTGGTGCTCGGTACTATATAGGGTGCGGGGGTTGAAACCTGGTTGACTGTGTGAAAGGTAAATGTCCTCTCTGTCGTACGAGTGCTCTGACCTCTTACATTAATTTTAAAGGGTAAAACAAAAGCAACAGCTTTAATAAAAGTTTTTTTTAAATTGAGGGACCGGGATTTACAATCCTGTTAATTACACTTCTCATCCGAGCACTATTCCAATACCACCCCCACCACCAACGTGCCCACTTCTCTTCGCCCCTGCCCCAGTGGGAGCTCAGTTTGGAGGACAAAAATCTTCAGTTCCAAAGAGTTTGGGCATTTGTGTTCCCTTACTGTTTCTTTTTCTTCTTTTTGGTTTTGAGGCTGTACCTGACAGTGCTCATGGCTCAGTCCTGGCTCTGTGCTCAGGGATCATGCCGAGCGGGCTCCGGGGAGCTTATGGGGTGATGGGGATTCAACTCGGGTTGGCCACAGGCCAGGCAAACGCTCCACCTGCTGTGCTCTCTCTCTCTCTCTCTCCAGCTCCCTTTATTGGATCCTGTATAAGAATCTATATCCTACATATGGGAGAAAACTTTATTTGTGGAGGCGGTGATACCTTCCAACATATGGATGAATAGAGTGAAACTCCTGAAATGCCACAAAGTCATAAATGAATATGAATAAATTGATATTTTTTTTTCCGAAAACTTAACTTTTTAAAAAACAAGTTCATAAATTAAAATTTAGTATTATAATTATTTGCTAATACATTGGAAATTTTTAGTTTTATTTTTTGGGCACACCTGGTGATGTTCAGGGCTTGCTCCTGGCTCTGTGCTCAGGGATCACTCCTGGAAGGGTTTTATGAACCATATCGGGTGTCAGTGATCTAATTGGCTTGGCTGCATACAAGGCAAGAGCCCTACCTGCTTCACTATCACTCCAGCACCCCACATTTAAAATTTACACGAAACTGATAAAAACTGCAAATGTAAAATTTATCGAGGAAAGAGAAAATTTTAAGGCAAAAATCAGCATAGTTCTATAAAAGTATAAAATTGTGTTTTATTTTAAAGAAGTGAGAGCTTTTATATCTTTATTTTTATTTTTTGACTTTTTGGATCAAACCCAGCGATGCTTAGGGGTTACTCCTGGTGCTCCTCAGGGGACCGTATAGGATGCTGGGGATCAAACCGGGGTTGGCTGCTGCAAGGCAAAAACCTTAACCACTATGCTATTGCTCTGACCCATGAAAGCTTTTTTAAAAGTGAAAAAATAAAGGATTTAATGTCCAATATTAGTGATTTTTATACAGATGGAACATAAATTTTGGACAGTTTTCCTTTCGGAGAGCCCGGCAAGCTACCGAGAGTATTCGATATGCCAGACACAGTAACAACAAAGTCTCCAATGGAGACGTTACTGGGCCCGCTCGAGCAAATCGACGATCAACGGGAGGGCCTTTACCTTTACCTTTACCTTTCCTTTAGAAAGAATTTATTTTGGCTTTGGGGCCATACTTGGTGTTCAGGGACTATTCCTGGCTTGATGCTTGGGGTCCCTCTTGGCAGAGCTCAGGGGGTTATGGAATGCTGGAGATGGAACCCAGGCCCCCTGCGTGTAGTCTATGCTCAGACCATGGAGCAGTCTCTTCTCTACACAGGAATATTTTTTTGTTTTGTTTTTTAATTTTTTTTTCCTTTTTGGGTCACACCCGGCAATGCACAGGGGTTACTCCTGGCTCTTCACTCAGGAAGAACTCCTGGCGGTGCTCAGGGGACCATATGGGATGCTGGGAATCGAACCCGGGGCCAGCTGCATGCGAGGCAAACGCCCTACCTGCTATGCTATAACTCCAGCCCTTTTTAAATTTTTAAATTTTATTTTCATAAAGTTGTTCACAGTAACTTTATGTTCAATATTTCAACTCCAATCCCAACACCATTACACCTTCTCACCACCGTTATTTTGAAGTTTCCCACCACCACTCAAGCCTGCCCCACGGTCAGATGCTAGATAATTTAAATTTATTTTGTATTGCTTGTTATGAATAGTGTAAGACGTCTGTAAGTGTCTGTCTAACAGTGATTCAACAAAAAAGCAAGAACAAAAAAGTATGAGATTGTAGATTCCCTCCCTCCCTCCCTCCTTCCCTTCTTTTTTTTTAATTATTTTTTTTTTCTTTTTGCTTTTTGGGTCACACCCAGTGATGCTCAGCGGTTGTTCCTGGCTCTGCACTCAGGAGTTACTCCTGGCGGTGCTTGGGGGATCATATGGGATGCCGGGGATTGAACTGAGGTTAGCTGTGTGCAAGGCAAACACCCTACCCACTGTACTATCATTCTGGCCCACCTCCTTCCCTTATTTCCCCCAGAGATGCTCTGGGCTTACTCGGTTCTGCAATGAGGGATCATTCCTGGTGGGACTCAGGGACTGTATTGGATGCTGGTATTGGACTTGGGTTGATTGCATGCAAGATGAGTGACCTACACACTGTAATATCCAGCCCCACGTTAGCACTCAAGATTCTTCTTTCTTGTGTACGTCTTTCCTTTCTCTATCTTTTGGCAGTTTGATTAAGTGTTTTTGACTGACTGAGGCACAGAACACCTTGTCTCAGGGAGCACTACTCAATGTCATCTCCTAATTCTCCTAATTTGCGACTGATGTCTCTCTCTTTTTTTTTTTTTTTTTTTTTTTTTTTGCTTTTTGGGTCACACCTGGTGATGCTCAGGGGTTACTCCTGGCTCTGTACTCAGGAATTACTCCTGGTGGTGCTCAGGGGACCATATGGGATGCTGGGAATCGAACCCAGGTTGGCCGTGTGCAAGGCAAATGCCCTCCCCGCTGTGCTATTGCTCCAGCCCTCAGCTGATGTTTGGGCCGGGGAGGAGGGTATCCTTGGATAATCTGAGTCTTTTTATGATTGGAAGCATTGATCACCGTCACTGTGTCCAAGTCAGTCACAGTGTATCTGTGGAGAGGAGGCCTTGTTGGGGGCAGGAGGGGCGACAGCTCCTTGGGGATTTGGACTGGAGGCACTCAGCTCCTGCTAGCGGAGGATGTGGCCTGAGCTGAGTGCCGACGTGCCTTGAGTGCAGATCTACATGGTGTTCCAGTGTGAGCTGGGTGCAGCTGAGAGCTGTGTGCCTACGTAGAGGTGAGCTGGGTGCTGGGTACAGATGCGTGCTGGGTGCAGATCCACATGCTGACTTTTGGAGGGTGTCATGTTGTGTGGTACTCGGGCAACTCTTCGCTCTGTGCTCAGGAGTGATTGCTGACAGTGTTTGGGGATTGGACGTGGTGCTGGAGACTCACACCAAGGTTGGCCCCATGCAAGGCAAGTGCCTTCACCCCTGGGCCATCTTTTTGACCAGAGGCTCATCTTCAAGCACTGTGTTCTGGGAAGGGCGCGGAAGGGCGGCGCTCTCTCTCAGGAGCAGGTTCTGCTAGCCGTTCTTTGTTTCAGCTGTTCACCCCAAGCGGATTTCAGGAGAAAGCCTCTACCGACCCTTTCATGCCCAACCTCACGCCCAGCCAGATGGTAGAATTACAGCAGGAGTATTCCTGGCTGACTGAGCTGCCGTTGGATGAGATGGAGAAAATGTTTGAGACCTACGGGAATGCAGATGGAGGTGAGCCTTCTGCTCTTGCCGGGCTGGGCTGCTGTGCTGAGCTGTGAGTCTGGGAGGGGAGCCGGGGAGGGAGGAGAGCTCCCCCGCAGCACTCCCCCAGCCTCCGGGTGCCTCTGCCTGCAGGAGGCCCAGCATCCCACAGCACCCTAGTGTCTTCATGGCTTGCACATCCAGGGACATCAGGGGACATGGCCTGGGGGTGACAGGCTGGAGGGAAATCAAGAACTAGAGTGGGGGTGTGTGCATCGGGAATGGTTCCTAGGGTGGCTTAGGAGTGCCAGTGTACTAGGATGTGAGGAGGGGCGTAGCGACTGGAGTGAGAGCTGAGGCAGGTGGACAGAGGAGAGGCCCTCAGGCCATGACGGGATCCCAGAAAGGCGGAAGAGGCTTTCATTTTCTCTTTCTCTTTCTTTCTTTCTTTCTTTCTTTCTTTCTTTCTTTCTTTCTTTCTCTCTTTCTCTCTTTCTCTCTTTCTCTCTTTCTCTCTTTCTCTCTTTCTCTCTTTCTCTCTCTCTCTCCTTCCTTCCTTCCTTCCTTCCTTCCTTCCTTCCTTCCTTCCTTCCTTCCCTTTCTTTCTTTCTTTCTTTCTTTCTTTTCTTTCTTCTTTCAAATTTTTAAATTTTTATTAGTGAGACACCATGAGGTACAGTTGTAGACTTACAAATTTTTGTGCTTGGGTTTCAATTATACAATGATCAAATACCCATCCCTCCACCAGTGCCCATTTCCCACCACCACGAATTTTTGCTCCATGGCTTAGAGGCCAGCCACACATGCTAGGGGAAAAGGAAGCTCAGATAGAGAAGGAAGCACCAAATAAAGGGTGTTGGGAGGATGCTCCCAGGATGGGAGAAGTATGCTGAAAGTAGACTATAGAACAAACATGATTGCCACTCAATGCCTCTTTTTTTTTAAGTTTTATTGAATCACCGTCAGATACAGTTACAAAGTTTTCATGTTTGAGATTCAGCCATACAATGATTGAACACCCATCCTCCACCAATGTACATTTTCTACCACCAATGTCCCCAGTATCCCCCCTTTCCATCCCAGTCCTCACCCTGCCTCTATGGCAGACAATTTTCCCAATACTCTCTTTATTTTTTTGGCATTATGTTGTTATTTTGCTCTTTGGGTCATACCTGGCGATGCACAGGGGTCACTCCTGGCTCATGAAGTCAGGAATTACTCCTGATGGTGCTTGGAGGACCATGTGGGATGCTGGGAATCGAACCTGGGTTGGCCTCGTGCAAGGCAAACGCCCTACCCACTGTGCTATTGCTCTAACCCCTTGGCATTGTTTGGCCCGAATTTTCCCACCCCCATTCAAGCCTGTCTGCCAGGGGCAGACGCTAGATAATTTATTCTCCATTGCTCATTTTGAATATCATGAGAGTTTGTGCTTGCAGCTGCGCACTTCTGGAATCCTAGATTGTAAATGGTTGGGTTCCAGAGACATCTCTGTAGGGCGCTAATCCATTTGGAGATTCAGTTGGGAGTCTCTGGACTGGGGCTGTTGGTGTGTTAAGATGTGCCTGGAGGCAGATTGTGGGTGTGACAGCCAGGCTGCTAAGTGGGCGGAGAGCCAGGGAAGGACAGCCCGGCGCCTGGAAGAGGCTTTCAGAGCACTTAGGGTGGATCTATTTTTGCTTTGGGGCCACAGTGGGCTTCTCCCGGCTTAGTTCCCAGGGATTGCTCCTGGGGTGTTCGGGGCCTGCATAGTATTGGGGGATTGAACCCCCTCCCTATGGGGAGCTGACCCCTTGGGAGACATAACCCCTGGAGCCTACAAAACCCTCTCCAGGAGACTGTTCCATCTCTGCCCTCTCCTCTGCACCCCATGGCATCTTTCCCTTCAACACACTTTTCCTGTTCTCTGCAGTATCTTTATTTATTTATTTATTGTGTGTTTTTTTGTGTGTTTTATTATTTATTATGATGGTGCATATTATGAAATACCACTTGCTTTAATATCAATTTTTACAAAATCAATTGCTTTTTTTTTTGTCTAGAAGATGGTCGATTCTCATGACCCCCTGTCCTGCAACCCTGGCCTCCCATCATCTCTCTCTTTTTTTTTAATTAGTGAAACACCATGAGGTACAGTTGTAGACTTACAAACTTTCGTGCTTGGGTTTCAGTTATACAATGATCGAGTACCCATCCCTTCACCAGGGCCCATTCTCTACCACCAATGATCCCCATAGCCCTCCCACCCCCCACCCTATCCCCCCCACCCCACCCCACCTCTGTGGCAGGGCATTCCCTTTTGCTCACTCTTTCCTTTAGGGTGTTGTAGTTTGCAATAGAGGTATTGAGTGGCCATCGTGTTTGGTCTATAGTCTACTTTCAGCACGCATCTCGCATCCCGAGTGAGTCCTCCATACATCCTGTACTTGGTGTTTCCTTCTCTCTCTGAGCTGCTTTTCCCCCCAGCATGGGCTGCCAGCTTCCAAGCCATAGAACAGACCTCCTGGTACTTATCTCAACTATTCTTGGGTGTTCGACTCCCATTCTGTTATTTTATATTCCCCAGATGAGTGCAGTCTTTTATGTCTGTCCTTCTCTTTCTGGCTCATTTCACTTAGCATGATACTTTCCACATAGAACCACTTGTATGTAAATTTCATGACTTCATCTTTTCTAACAGCTGCATAGTATTCCATTGTATAGATGTACCAAAGTTTTTTTAACCAGTCATCTGTTCTCGGGCACTCGGGTTTTTACCAAATTTGGTTATTGTAAACAGTGCAGCAATGAACATAAAAGTGCAGATGTCATTTCGACTGTACTTTTTTTGCCTCTCCAGGATATATTCCCAGGAGTGGTATTGCTGGGTCAAATGGGAGTTCAATTTCTAATTTTTTGCAAATCGTCCATACTGTTTTCCAAAAGAGCTGAACCAGTCGGCATTCCCACCATCAGTGTAGGAGGGTCCCTTTCTCGCCACATCCACACCAACACCGGTTGCTTTTGTTCTTTTGGATGTGGGCCAGTCTCTGTGGTGTGAGATGATATCTCATTGTAGTTTTGATCTGCATCTCCCTAATGATTAGTGAGGTAGAGCATTTTCTCATGTGCCTTTTTGCCATTCGGATTTCTTCTTTGAGAAAGTTTTTATTCATTTCAGCGATCCATTTTTTGATGGAGCTGGATGTTTTCTTCTTGTGGAGTTCAACCAGTACTTTGTATATCCTTGATATCAAACCCTTGTCGGATGGGTATTGGGCGAATATTCTTTCCCATTCTGTAGACTGTCTTTGTATTCTGTAGACTGTTTCTTTTGAGGTGCAGAAGCTTCTTAGTTTAAGATAGTCCCATTTGTCTATCTCTGTTTTCACCTGCTTGGCCAGTGGCGTGTCATCTTTGAAGATACCATTCGCTTCAATGTCGTGGATGGTTTTGCCAACCTTGTCTTCAATGTACCTTATGGATTCTGGTTTGATGTTGAGGTCTTTAATCCATTTTGATCTTACTTTTGTACATGGTGTTAGGTAGAGATCTGAGCCCATTTTTTTGCATGTAGCTGTCCAGTTTTGCCAGCACAATTTGTTAAAGAGGCTTTCCTTGCTCTACTTCACATTTCTTGCTCCCTTATCAATGATTAGATGATCAGATGTTTGGGGGGAGATGTCAGTATATTCAACCCTGTTCCATTGGTCTGCAGCTCTGCCTTTGTTCCAGTACCATGCTGTTTTAATTATTACTGCTTTGTAGTAGAGTTTGAGGTTGGGGAGGTTGATTCCTCCCATTTTCTTTTTCCCAAAAATTGCTTTACTCTGTAGTATCTTTAAAAGATGTACTTTTGGGGGCTGGAGAGAGAGCACACGGTAAGGTGCTTGCCTTGTCTTGCAGGCGACCTGGGTTTGATCTCCAGTATCCTGTAAGGTCCCCCAAGCTCCACCAGGAATGATCCCTGAGTACACAGAGCTAGGAGTAAGCCCCAAGCACCGCAGGTGTGACCCCCCAAACCAAATAAAGATTCATTTTAACCTCACCCTTCTTGTAGTGAACTGCTTCGTGCCTCTCTGTTGCCATTACCAGTTTTCCCTTCCCCAGCCAGGGGAAGATCCATCCTGTTTCCTTTGTCTCCATGGCTGCTGGTCTGTTTCATTTGTTCAGAAATGGGATCCAATCTAGGATATGACTTGAATACTCCCTCCCCCCGACCTCCTGCCACCCGTTCCCCTGCCTCTCCTGGGGAAGGTGCTTGCTGGGATTTGTGGGCTGATGGAGTGTGAACGGGTGGAATGTGGAAAAGCAGCTGGGCAGTGTGATTCTTCATGTTTCCCCCTACTTGGAGCTCAGACACCCCAAGAGCCCCAGACGGGTAGGGTGCTGGGTGTCTGGAGGGATTCTATGCTCCTCTCTTAGGCTTGGACAGGAAGATGTTCATCAAGGGTGCCAAGAAGGTCCTGGGCTATGTGACCGAGGACAGGCTGCAGGTGCTCTTTCTCAAGGTGGACACAGACTGCGATGGCACCATCACCTGGGTGAGAAGAGCACGCATGGTTTTGGGTCTTGGCAGGAGGTATTGGGTAGGTGGGGGAGGGGCGCCTCGATTAAGCACAGTGCAGAGACTGCTCCTAGCACTGTAATATCGGACAGCTTCCTGTGATTCTGGAGTGCCTGCTGGGTAGAGCGAAGTCTTTTTGTTTGTTTTTAGTGGGGGCAGGGGGCACATCACAACTCTCTGTGCTCAGGGCTTGCTCCTGGCTCTGTGCTCTAGGATCACTGCTGACAGGGCTCAGCGGACCTTATGGGATTCTGGGGATTGAACCTGGTTCAGTCATATGCCATGTCCAAGGCAAACACCTTGCCTGCTGTAACTCATTTTTTTTTTTAATGAATCACCGTGAGAAAAGTTACAAGGCTTTCAGGTTTAAGTCTTGGTCATACAATGATCAAACACCCATCCCGTCACCAGTGCACATGTTCCACCACCAAGAACCACAGTATGCCCCTCATCCTACCCCTACCCCGGCAGATGATCTCCACTTTACTCTCTCTCTACTTTGATTACTTTCAATTTTTCGACAAAAGACCCACCATTATTATTTGATTTCCCCCCAATAATCAGACCTGTCAAAAAGTCACGGTCCTCCCGTTGTTCATCGATTTGCTCGAGCGGGCCCAGTAACGTCTCCATCATGAGACTTGTTGTTACTGTGTTTTGGCATATTGAATATGTCACGGGTAGCTTGCCAGGCTCTGCCGTGCGGGCGAGATACTCTCGGTAGCTTGCTGGGCTCTCCAAGAGGGGCGGAGGAATCGAACTCGGGTCGGCCATGTTGGCCGTGAGTAAGGCAAACGCCCTACCACTGTGCTATCGTGCCAGCCCCGTCGAAAAGTCATCAATAGATAATTTGTTTTCTGTTGCTGATAATGAAGAGCATATGATGTTGCGTGGCTGCAACAGTGGCCGCACAATTTTGGATTTCTGATATTTTTGTAATTAAGTCCGGAGGGATTTCTGCCAGAAGTCGCTGGGTTCCGAGATTGGTTTGTGTGCCTCTGGGATCATGGCCGTTTCGGGGCTGGAGGAACCATTCGTGGCTGTAATCCATTTTTTTTTTTTTTGCTTTTTTTTTTTGGTGAGACCCAGCATTGCTCAGGAATTACTCCTGGGTCTGCACTCAGGAATCACTCCTGGCAGTGCTCGAGGGACCATATGGTATGCTTGGAATCGAACCTGGGTCAGCCATGTGCAAGGCAAACGCCCTATCCACTGTACTATTGCTCCAGCCCTGTAACCCATTTTTATTGAGGATATTTGTAAATCTATGTTCACAAGGGGGTGTTGATCTGTGGTTTTATTTATTTATTTTAATTTTTGTGGTGGTCACACTCAGTGGTGTCAAGGCCTTACTCTTGGCTCTGCACTCAGGGATCATTCCTGGCAGCCTTGGGATCATACGGAATGCTGAGGATTGAACCAAGGTTGGCTGCATGCAAGGCAACTACTGTACCTTGCTGTACTATGGTTCCGGTCCCTGTAGTTTCATTTTTCAGAAATCATAATGGTTTTTCTTTTTCTTTTCCTTTTTTGGCTTTTTGAGTCACACCCAGTGATGCTCAGGGATTACTTCTGGCTCTGATCTCAGGACCCACTCCTGGCAGTGCTCGGGGGACCATATGAGATGCCGGGAATCGAACCCGGGTCGGCCACTTGCAAGACAAATGTCCTACACACTGTACTATCTCTTTGGCCCCAAAATGGGCTTTCTTAATAAGTTCTAGTTTTTTGGTAGAGCTTCCAATGATGGCCCACCGGGGCCTTGGCCCTATTTTAACGAGGCCATTCAACCGAATGTCCAGTGTCTCTCTTAGTCTGACTTCGGATCCTGCTCAGCCCTGAAGTTGGTCTCTGAGCTTGGGAAAGTTCTCTGTCGTGACTCGGGCCCCAGGATTTTGGTCCACCGAGAGGGAGTAAATAGGTTTCAGCGCGCAGGGCTCTGGGCATGCTGCTCTGGGCTGGGGAACCTGACACAGGCGGGAGACGGGGCAGGCCGAAAGCCACCATCCAGACTGTCTGCTCAGGGCCTCCTGCTGTCCTCCTCCCGAGGCAGGAGGAGTACGTGGACTACGTGATGCGGGAGTTCCAGGGGAAGGAGATGAAGAGGAGGAGCCAATACCGCCTGCGCTTCCAGCTGCCCATGAAGATCATCCCCCAGTAAGAAGCCACTGGGAGGGCTGAAGGGGCGTCTGAACAGAGCAGGGGGCCGCAGCCACGGTCTGGGCCGGCTCCTGGGTCTGGAGACACCATGGTGCAGGAGACCAATCGTGGTCGGTCACTTGCAGGGCCAGTGCCTTGGCCCCTGAGCTCTCCCTCTGAGCCTGACCTTGTCTAGTTTCTTTAGATCTTTCAGCCCGTAGACAGGAGAAGGAAGGTGGTAGGGGGAGTGTCCCCCTTTGACTTCCCAAGAAAAAGAGGTTTGGAGAGGTCCCCTATGTGTCCTCCGCGTGCCTCCTGCACAGCAGGTTCTGGGCACAGCCCTGTGGAGAGAGCAGGCAAAAGCCACTGCTGGAAGCTACTTCCCGAGCCACATCTGACTCAGAGCAGGCGGCCCTGGCCCGGCCTCGCTGGTTTACTTGTGTTTTGTTTCTGGGGTCCACCTGGGAGCTCTCAGGGCTTTTACTCCTGGCACTCAGGGGTTGCTCCTGGTGGGGTCAGGGGACCAAATGGGGTGTCAGGGGGGCTGGAGTGACAGCACAGCGGGTAGGGCGTTTGCTTTGTACACGGCCAACTGGGGTTCGATTCCCTCCCTGAGCACAGCCAGGAGTAATTTTTCAGTGCATGAACCAGGAGTAACCCCTGTGCATCGCCAGGTGTGACCCAAAGAGAAAAAAAATGGGGTGCCAGGGATCAAACCCAGGTCAGCTATGTACAAAGGCAAGTGCCCTGCCCACTGTGCTATCTGTCCAACCCTGCCTGTTCTCTTCCTGGTACTCCTCTAGTGGGCCCCCCAGACCTCTGTGCCATCCACCTATCCCTGGGCCATGCCCTGTCTGCCCCCCTCCAAACCACCAAGGAGGAGAAGTGTCCCTGTGAACCCAGTTTGGTTTCCTGAGCTGGGCGGCTTGTAGCCCACACCCTTCCTTGAGCCCACCTGGGTATCTGCTGCCCATGGGGCCCACACACTGAGCAGTCCTCAAGAAGCCTGGGGCTTACTAGAGATGATGGCATAATGGGAACCACAAAAGGGGTGCTTAAGCAGTGTTGATCGACTTCATTGAGGAATGTGCAGTAAACAGAGGGATGGACAGCTTGACACCAACTTCATTGAGGAATGCGCAGTAAACAGGATGGAAGGCTTGACAGTCAAACACTGTGCCGTAAATTGACTTGGCGTCACCTTGTCTGTGCTACCATCGTTCTTTGACCAGTTAGTTTTTTCCAAGGGGATGTAAAGGGGTCTGAATTCAACTCTCAAGAAGCTTTTCTTTAAAAAAAAATTAATGATTTTATTTTTGGGGGGAAAAATTAATAATGGAATAGACATCTATAATTCTATTTGTAAATCACTCTTTTTAATAAAAAGGAAGCTTTTCTTATGTTCTCTTTGATGTAGCCTGAGAGCATTTCAAGCTTGGTGGAGAAAAGAATCAAATCATAATTACTTCCCTGACTAAAGGGTAATTTTCTAAAGCTGGAGGCCCGTGGGCCAGGGTGCGGCTCCGGGTGAGCTCTGCCTTGAAGGTGTGAGGTCTGGGCTGGGTTCCCCGGCCATGGGCTTCCCTGAGCTCTATTGGGGGTAACCCTCGTGCGTGACCGGTGTCTGTGCATTCCCCACTACCCCCCAAAGTGCTCTAGTCACCTTTCCTGTGCCTCTGCCAGGCCCACGACAGGCACTAGACCCTTGAGGGGCCACCACACAGAGAAGGCTTCAGGGTCCTGAGGGACATTCCCTGCGCCCTCAGCAGTGTGAGGCCCCTTAGCATGGCAGGGAGCTATTCCCAAGCAGCCCGCGGAAGACTGATAAAACATAAAGTGAAAGAAGGTTGTTAGCAGAAGACCCCAGTTCTCATTCCCTCCTACACGTCCTCCCGGGAGGGCGTGGAGGGCTGTTTGTGGTCAAAGCACTGCCTCAGGCAGCTCCACATTTGGCTTATTTCCTCCGGCCACTGCCAATGCGATTGGTAGAGCTCCCGAACTGGGTCAGCGGCCACAGCGCCCAGAGCCAGCTCTGGCTTCTCAGGGTGCCCCTGTGAGTGAGCACGCATGGGCGACTGAGCCGTTTGTGTGCACATGTGCTCAGAGCGACTGAGCCATCGGTGTTCATGTGTGCTCGGGGCGACTGAGCCATCTGTGTCCATATTTGTTCAGGGCAACTAAGCCGTCTGTGTGCACACGTGCTTGGGGTGACTGAGCCATTTGTGTCCATGTGTGCTTGGGGCGACTGGGCCATTCATTCAGTGTGTGCTTGGGGCAACCGAGACATCCATGTGCACTTGTTCTCGGGGTGACTAAGCTGTCTGTGTCCATGCATGCTCAGGGCAACTGAGCCGTTCTTGTGTGTGCATGTGCTGGGCTACTGATCCCTCGTGCACGTGTGTGCTTGGACTGAGCCCCGCTCTTGTCGCCAGCCTGCTCCTTGGTGCCGGCGGTTCCCATTGGCTCAGGGTTCTCCTCTGTTCCCTCCCGCAGAAGCCACAGGTGTGAGATCGTGAAGGTGCAGTACTTCGTTCCCCGCCTCAAGAAATTCGGCTGCTTCGTCACCATCACTAAGGACGGCTGCCTGGAGACCTGGTCTGAGAGCTTTACAATGATCAGCTCCTTCAGGGTGAGTGGGGAGTCCCAGACCCCGGCGTCACAGCTCCTGGGGCCGAGAATGTCCTGTGCCTCTATCGTCAGCAAGATGCCATCTGGTGTCTGTTCCACGTGGGCGCCTGCCTTCCGTCGCAAGCCTGTCAGTCCACTTGAAACGTCCTGGCAGCTCATCTCAGCGACTATCCTCGTCATCCACCAGCCTCTTCTCCCTCCCCGGTTGCCCCGGCCCCGTCAACGCGCCCTGCTGCTTTGGAAACTCCGCCTGCACCAGGCTAAAATCCCCGAGGTTTGAGCGTGGAGCTGTGAGCCTGACTGGCTCACTGACAGGGGTTTTCCCATCTGTCAGATGTCTCTCTCCCTCTGATCCACACGTATTTATTGATTTATTTATTGTTAGGGGGCCATTGAATCTGGGTCACCCAGATGCAAGGCAGGTGCCCTATCTGCTGCACCATCTCTCTGGCCCCTCTGATCCACATTTAACCCGAGATTCCTTTCTTTCTTTGTATTTGGGTCATATCCGGTGATGCTCAGGGGTGTTATCTCAGGCCCCTTAAGCTGAGATTTTGTTCATCTTGCTACCTGGTTGCCTCAGTGTCCCCTAAGGGAGAGCCACGGCGGACAGAGGGAGCCAACTGTGAGGCCCCGGCAGACCTGGGCTTTCTCCCTGGAGGGGCTGGTTGGCAAGAGGGAGTAGCCCAGTGTCACCCATTGTCTTTTCTGCATGCCTGCTGGTGGAAAGCTCTGGGTTTGGGCGGGGGGCGGGAGGGGCGCTGGTCTTCGCTCTCCAGCCACCCTGGACAGTCTCGGAAAATGCCTCCAGGCTCCCATTTCCCCATCTGAGGTTTAGGATCCCTTGTGTATCCTCAGTGGGGCTCACCATCTCTGGCCCGCGCTCACTGTCCTCACCACCAGGGCGAACCCAAGATTCAGCACACGCTACAGCCCCTGGGGCTCTCATTCTGGCCTCCTGGCTTGCCCCGTCCACTTCTGCCAGCCCTTTGTTTTGTTTTAGGGTGGTGGGTGGTGGTGGTGGTGTTGGTTGGGCCTCACCAGGTGGTGCTCAGGGCTTACTCCTGGTGTTATGCTCAGGGATCAGTTCCTGGCAGTGTTCAGGGGACTAGGTGGGTACTGGGGATTGAATCCAGGTCAGCTACGTGCAAGGCAAGGGCCCTACCCTCTGTTCTGTCTCTCTACCCCCTTACCAGCCCTTCTCAGTGTCCACAGAGAGGAGCTGTCTGCAAGCCCAGGGGCGGAAACAGCAGGTGCTTGGACCCCAGACTCCAGGCCAAGTTCGCCCCTCCTTCGCTGCAGTTTTTTTTCTTTTTGGGTCACATCCAGTGATACACAAGGGAACCTCCTGGCTATGCACTCAGGAATTACTCCTGGCAGTGCTCGGGGAACCATATGGGATGCTGGGAATTGAACCCGGGTCAGCCGCATGCAAGGCAAATGCCCTACCCACTGTGCTATCACTCCAGCCCCTTTACTGCAGTTCTTACCCTCTTCTTGCTTCAGTTCAAAGTCCCCGGCCTTCAGCTGTCCCCTCACTCAGCGTCGACCCTGGGCGAGTCCTGTCCAACTAGCCTTGCCTCTCTGCCTGACGCAGCAGCTCTTTTCTGCTGGCCAGCCTTCCTTCCTGGCCCACTCCCCTGCCTTCCCACAGGGCCCTCACTCCAAGAGTGGGGCTCAAGACTGGCAGAGGTGTGCGAGAGGGCCCCTGGGCTGTATGAACCCCCGAGAGTGCCCACCAATGCATTTCGGCCCTTCATTCTTGCCACCTGGAGGCTGGTCCCTCATTCACGAACTTCTGTGGCCAGGTGACACCTGCAGATGAGAAATAAGTGTAGGATTACATTGGTTTGTCCTTTCTCCCTTGCCACAGGGAGTTTAGGTTTATTGGGTTACACCCATCACAGTGCTCCCGAGTCACTCCCATTCCTCTGTGTTTATCTGTGACCTCTTCGCTGTGCTCTCCTCCCCAACCAGTTAATCACCTTTTCCCCCTAATCAGATTCTGTTAACTTGTAAGATCAGATTCTTCTAAGGACACTGAACTTGTACGTTAAATATTGCTTTCCCCCATCTTTTGTATAGTTTACTTTAAAGCAATGTCCTTTCTGTATGGACAAAGGAAGACAGTTAATATTATGCTTTTGTAACTTGGGAGTAAATTGTCTCCGAACAATATGAACTCTGGGCATCTGCTTCCTTGATTTAAGCCTCAGTTGCCCTTAGTTCCTACCACCCCAAAAGCATGGTTCCAACTAGGGACTGAGTGGACCCAGGGCAAGTTGTGAGCTACCCTGGCATCGAAATGGGCCAGGCCAAAGTGCCCACGATACTCAACTATAAGTTGAGAGCATGGTCATGGACAAATGCTGTCATGATCCAAAAGTAACGACGAGATTAGGACCCTGCTAGGGATAGGAAAGACTGATCTGGCCTGAGCACTGTAGTCTGAGATCGAGATGACCCCAGGAGAGCAAGCCCATAAGCTTGATATACCTCTTACTATGCTCACAAGAGTCAAAGTCAGGCAACCAACAAAAACAAGAGCTACACTTGGTGTCTGTGACATTGCAATAAAACGGAGGCGGGGAGAGATTCAGACTCCCAACGGATGGACAGTGGGGGTGGGGTCAGCCTTCCTTCCCCAGAGGCAGCTTCAGTTTGGGGGATGCTCTTCCGTGGAGAGCCTGTACTGATGTTCCCTGACTGCCCTCCCCCTGCCTCCCACTGTTTTTGGTTACTATTTTTGGGCCATATGCTCTGCCCTCAGGGGTTGCTCCTAGCAGGGCTGGGACCCTGTGGGTTGTTAGGGATCAAACCTGGGTCACTGTGTGCCAGGTGTACTCTCGCTCTGGCCCCTTGGCCTCCATTTTTTTTTTCACTCTTTTTTTTTTTTAATTTATTGAATCACTGTGGGAAAGGTTACAAAGCTTTCAGGTTTATGTCTCAGTCATGCAAATATCAAACACATTTCCCTTTCCCAATACTTATTTTTTACCATGAAGAACCCCAATAAAACCCCACCCCCCACCCCTCCCCGTCCCTGTGAGGCAGATGAATTCTAGTTAACACTCTATCTGCTTTGATTAGATTCATTGTTTCAATAAAAGATTCACCACTATTATTTAGAGTTTACCCCCCCCCCCCCAACTCAGACATGCTGAAAAAGCATTGTGAAGTGATTTGCTTTCTACAGCTGGGTTCAAGAATTAAATGTTGGTTTTGGATTTCTGCTATTTTACCTATTGACCCTGGAAGTATTTCTACTGAAAGTCAGATAGTTAAGAAATTGGTTTCTGTGTTCTGGAGTCGTGGCCGTGCTGGAGAGCCGCTCGCAGGGGGACCGGTGGCCTCGGTAGGGCGTGAAGGGCGGAGCGAAACGCCCCCCTTCCCATGAGGTTTTAGTCGCCCCCACACTCCCGGCTCATACCTGCTGTCCACAAGGCTCCCATGTGGCCGCCATCTTTCTTTCCAGAGAGGAGAGGGCGAATGGGGCAACACCCTTTCCCCTCCGGCAGACTTGATGGCCTGGATCAACGCATAGTCCGTTCACTTTTCTGCTCCAAGCTGCTGGGTTCTGCATTAAGTCCTTGTGCTTCTGGGGTCGTGGCCGTGCTGGAGAGCCGCTCGTGGGGGGCGACTGGTGACCTCGGTAGGGTGTGAAGGACGGACCGGAACGCCCCCCTTCCCATGAGGTTTTAGTCGCCCCCACACCCCCGGCTCATACCTGCTGTCCACAAGGCTCCCATGTGTTGGCCTCCATTTTTAAATACAAAAAGAGAGTCCACTGGGAAGTAGATCCGGAGGTGGTTCCTTCTGCCACACACATGGCCCCAGGTAGTCATGTTGGGGTCTCTGTGGACTCAGCCCTGTCTCCTGGACTCTCTGGCTGTGGCCGCCACCCCCACCCACTCTCCTGTGGGTCCTGGTGGGCGCAGCCATGGAGGGGTTTTGGAGGCAGACCCGGGATGACAAGCCAAGCATGTCTAAGACTTGGATGAGCTTGTCAAACTGCTCCAAAGAGGGGTCGTGGAACCTGGGTTCCATCCCCAGTATCCCATATGGTGCCCCAAGTCCACCAGGACTGAGCATAGAGCCCGGAGAAATCTCTGAGCATCACTGGGTGTGATCCCTAAACCAAAAATAAATAAATAAATAAAAAAATAAAAAGTTAAAAAAAAATTAAGAAGGGTTGTGAGTTTCTCCAGACTCTATCTAGAATTTTGGAGTTCCAGGAGCACAAAGCCACTCTTGTGGCAGTACGACATCTTATGCTATTCATAACAAGCAACACAAAAGAGAGTATGGGGGAGATTCTCTGCTGTAGAGGCGGGAGGAAGGGTGGGATGGGGGGATACTGGGGTTCTTGGTGGTGGGAGATGTGCACTGGTGGAGGTTTGGGTGGTCGATCATTATGAATGAAACTCAAGTTACAAAGGAAAGCTTTGTAACTGTATCCCAAGGTAATTAAAATGATAATAATAATATCAATAAAAATAATAAAAAAGAAGGGTTGTGAGGATAGGGTTTTATTAGCTCGTTTGACAGCCCTGGAAACAGACTTTAGGAGGTTGGGGCATTTATGGTAGCGCCGAGCCGGGCACCCAGGCTGGTCCCGGTCCCGGGGGTTGGGGAGAATGCCAGGTGAGGGCTCCCGGGACTCTGTGCTGCTTTGTGTGTGGGCGGCCTCCTAGGAGCCCTCTGTCCTTACCCCATCCTTCCTCTGTCCTTCCCCTGCAGCTGAACCAGCTCCAGCAGTCCCCCCACCAGCAGATGTGGGTTGTCGACATGGTGTGTCTACACAACATGAACCTCATCGCAGTGGCGTCCACTGAGCAGAAGATTGGTGAGGCCGGGGGGAACCATGCGTTGGTGTTTGGGGAGGCCTGACAGCAGCCGTTGGGGTCTCCAGGGCAGCCCCGAGGTCTGACGTGTGGCTCTGGGGTTCCCTGGGTCTCCCCTCGTCTCCTCCCCAGAGTTCTACGATATTAGTGACTTCAACTGCGTCCGGGCCTTCACCTTCATCGACCTGGACAGCTGCGTGATGGTCATGGACTACTGGTGAGTCAGGGGACCCTGAGTGGGGTCCCCACATCTTCTGTGGACTCACAGTACTGGAGGGGGTCCCCCCTTGGGGGCTTGTGACCTCTTCCTCTGCATGTGCTTCCTCTCGTGTCTCAGTCGGGGAAAACCACGTGGTCATGGGTCTCTCCCCTGTGGTGGTCAGCGGGGGTGGGAGGAGGCCGATGGGGGACTGGGCACTCCTTGATTCGGATTTAGAAAGACTCACTTCCTGTTGGGGAAATTGCCATAGAGGCAGAGTGAGAACTGAGATCAGGGTGGGGGGGGGGGTGGGAAGGGGATAAGGGGGACATTGGTGGTGGACAATTTGCACTGGTGGAGGGATGGGTGTTTGATCATTGTATAGCTGAATCTCAAATATGAAAGCTTTGTAACAATATCTCATGGTGATTCAATAATAATAATAATAATAGTAATAATCACTGTCACTGTCCTCCCGTTGTTCATCGATTTGCTCAAGTGGGCCCAGTAACATTGTGAGACTTGTTACTGTGTTTGGCATATTGAATACGTCATGGGTAGCTTGCCAGGCCTTGCCATGCGGGCGAGATACTCTCGGTAGCTTGCTGGGCTCTCCGAGAGAGGCGGAGGAATCGAACTCGGGTCGGCCATGTTGGCCGCTTGCAAGGCAAACGCCCTACCCGCTGTGCTATCGCTCCAGCCCAATAGTAATAATAGTAATAATAATAATAATAATAATGACAAAAAAAAAACCAAAACAGAGCAAAAAAGACAGACCAAGTTCCTTTTGAGCCTGGTGCGTTGGGGTCTGGTGAGGTGCAGAGTAGGGGACCCGCACTGATCCCCGCACAGGAGGCTGGGGCTCAGGGTGGCCACAGTACCCCAGTGCGCCCCTTCTCCCCCAGGTCTGACTACCACAGAGGCGTCTTCTGCTACGGCGACAGCAAAGGCAGCGTCACCGTCTTCACCTCGGACAACGTGAAAAACGGGCTGTTCAATCCATGCATCCTCCCCAAGACCTCTAAATGGGGTACCTGAAATATGGGCCGGATTGGGGAGGGTCCTCCTTCGGCTGCACCGCCCCTGGGTGCTGGGGTGGGGGTGCAGTTTCTCTGAAGGGAGTGGGGTCCTGCTGGGTTTCAGTTTCTCCTTATTCCAGCATTCCTTGTTTTATTTATTTATTTTTTTAAAAATTGAATCACCATGAGATACACAGTTAAAAAAGTTGTTCGCGATTGGGTTTCAGTCATGCCATGTTCCAACACCGATCCCTTCACCAGCATACATTTCCTACCATCAGTGTTCCCAGTTTCCCTGTGACAGACACCTCTCTCTCTCTCTCTCTCTCTCTCTCTTTCTCTCTCTCTCTCTCTCTTCCCCACCCCCTCACCCCCCACTTCTGGGCACTGGGCATTATGGTTTGCAACACAGGTACAGGTACTGACACATTGTCCTGTATATCCCTTTACTTACTTTCAGGACTCGGTTCTTGTCCAGAGTGATCATTTCCAACTGTCATGGTCATAGTGGTCCCTTCTCTGTCCTAACTGCCCTCACCCCGCCCTTCCACTAGTGGCAGGCTTCCATCCATGGACCCGTCCTCCTGTCCCTTGTCCCAGCATTCTTTTTCTTTTTTTCTTTTTTGGTTTGCTTTTTGTTGTTGTTTTAGGCCACACCTGGCAGTGTTCAGGAATTGCTCCTCTTTAAAATTTTTTCAAAAGTAAAAAAAAAAGTTAATGGGTATCAGAACGTGGCTCAGAGGGCTGAGTGCACCTTTGCACGTGGGCAGCCCAGGTTCCATCCCCGGCACCGCATAGTTCCCCAGTGCTGTCTAGGAGTAGCCCCTGAACACTGCCAGGCTCGCCCAGAAAACAAGTTACTTTTCATTTCCTTCTCGCCTTGCCACGGTAGCAGACAGCACTGCTCCCCAGGGCTCGCACACGACCATGGGGTACACTGAGAGTTGTGTTCCTCTCACTGTGGTGCTTGCGTGTGTCTACACCAGGCTCCCACCCTTAAGTCGGGGCTCACAAGTCATGACCCAGTGCCAAGTTCTTGCCCGAGTGATGCCAGGATCAAACTCGGGGCCTAGTGCCTGCGTTGCTCCAGTCTTTTTTTTTTTTTTTAAGTAAAGACAGATTTTTATTTGGAGAGTTCTGGAAGGGAAAAGGGAGAAAAGTCTGAGAAGAGAGACAGAAAGAGAAAGAGGAGAGAGGAGGAGAGAACAGAGAGTGAGAGATAGAGGAGATAGAGAAGCGAGAGAGAGAAAGGAGAGAGAGACAGAGAAACAGAGAAGCGAAAGAGAGGGAAGAGAGAGAGAGAGAGAGAGAGAGAGAGAGAGAGAGAGAGAGAGAGAGAGGAGAGAGAGATTCCTGAAAGGGAGTGGGGTAACGTGCTCAAGAGAGAACATGGGCTTCTCCAAAGACAGAGAGAGCTCCTGCACACCCCAGCATTAGATACGGAAGCATGAAAGTCCACATCTCAAGAGGTGGATGTGGATGCCACATGTGCTTGACCACGTGGGTGCAAGCAGCACAGGGGCTCACTCAGCATATGCACCATGTGCTGATCCAGCCCTTTGAATGATTTTCCCGGCTCTTGGCACATCCTTTTTTTAAAAAATATAATTTATTTTTATTTTTATAGTTGTTGGGTCATACCCGGTGATATCAGGAACTTATTCCTGGTTCTGCATTCGGGGATCACTCCTAGCCTGGCTTGGGTGATCAAACCCAGGTTGGATACATGCAAGGCAAGCACCCCACTGGCTGTATTATGGTTCCAGTCCCACTGTTGCCAAAATCTTCATAGCTCCACATTCAGTGATACAACTCACAGGGGTCATGGCCCACAGTTGAAAAAGCTAGGGTTTAGATTACAGTGGCTAGGGATTAGGGAAGAGCCCCCAAATCTGCTTCCAGCTCTGCCTGAGGCAGGTAAGGGGGTAAGGGTGGTGGGGTAGGCAGTGAATCTAGCTGGTTTTTTCTTCTTTTTTTAATTTTTTTTCTTTTTTGGGGTCACACCTGGCAATGCTCTGGTTGTTCCTCCTGGCTCTGCACTCAGGAATTACTTCTGACGTGCTTGGGGGGACCATATGGGATGCTGGGGAATTGAACCCGGGTCAGCCGTGTGCAAGGCAAGCGCCCTACCCGCTGTGCTATCACTCCAGCCCCTAGCTGGGTTTCTTTTCTCAGCATGAGATGAGCCTCACCTCACTGATGTGACCAGGGTGCAGGGAGGCCTGACCAAAGTGTTTGTGTTTTTGGTTTTGGGTGAGTTTTTATTTTGGTTTGTTTCTAGAATACAACTGGTAATGCTCAGGGGTTACTCCTGGCTCTACACTCAGGAATCACTCCTGGAGGTGCTCAGGGGATGCCGGAGATCGAACCCGGATCAGCCATGTGCAAGGCAGTGTGTAGTACATAGTAGTGCATAGCACAACCCTACCTGCTGTACTATCTTTCTGGCCTGTTTGTGTTTTTGGGTTTGGGCCCACTCCTGGGTGGTGCTCAGTGATTACTCCTGGCTCTGCGCTCAGGGATCACTCCTGGTGGGATCTGGGGGACTATATGGGGTGGTGGGGATTGACCCCAGGTAAGCCATGTGCAAGGCATGTGCCCTACCCGCTGTCCTCTCTCCTGCCCCAACCCAAATGTCTGGATGGAGATACGTCAGAGTTGGAAACCCTCTTACCGAGTTTTTGCTTGTCTGGAGAAGGGGACTGTGCAGGTGACAGGCACCTTGGTTTTCTCCCCTGTCAGATCGCACTCACTGGACCACCGTTTCTGCGCAGAAGCTCCTGAACGAGAAGTCCAGTCTGTATAGAACTTTCCGACTGAAGGTACTTGCCAGCGTGCCCTACTTAGCATCTGGGTCCCACCGGGTCGGGGTCCCAGGTGTGGTGTCGCCCTCTCTCCTGCAGCTGCCCCGCTCCCCCCCAACCACCCATCCGAGGCGGTGGGCCGGATCCCTTCTCCATCAGCATCAGGGAGCCCCATCTCACCCCCTGGCTCAGAGCCCCCCAGCTGCGCTCGCCTCTCTCTCGAGTGCTCCTCCTCATTCCCCTGCTGCCGAGGCGCGGGCAGCCCCACCATCCTCCGCACCCAGCCCTGCCCGCCCCCCGCTGTTCCTCCTCGGGGGGCCCAGCGCAGACCCCCATGGCCCCTGCTGCATGCGTCACAGCCTCCCCGGGGGGCTTTCCCCAGCCTGCCCCCTGATTCTGACAGCGCTCGGGGCTCCAGGCTGCCCAGGTCCCACCGGATCTCCCTCTGCTCTGGATGCCAGGCACAGGTTCTGGTGGTCACCCGTGCTTTCTTTGTAGTCGGCCTGCTGGACATCAGAGCCACCAGGTGCCAGGATCTCACCTGGGGCATCCCGGCCCCTCGCCCCGCCCCGCGCCTGCGCACATCCACGAACCTGAAAGGATGCCCAGTCGCCACTACATCTAGGGTTCCCAGCAAGGCACGCCACCTCCACCCCCCAACCCCAGCCCTCCCTCCCCGGAGACTGGGTGCGGGGCCAAAGGTTCCTACCCTTCAACCACCTGGTTAGCAACCCTGGCAACCAGCTGCTGCCTCTGGGCTCTTAGGAAGCCCCAAAGGTCTGGGGAGTTTAAATATAGGTTTCTGCTTGACTGGGGCGCTGGTGCACGTGCTTTGCAAGAGAAAGCCCTTGGCCCTGCGGCATTCCCAGAGCTGCACTGGAAGTGGACTGCCCCCACCTCCCCCGAGCCCCTCTCCCCCAGCACTGAGCCTGGAATAGCCCCTGAGCGCCTCTGGTGTGGTTCCAAAACAAACAAAGGATTTCTTATGCGGGCTGCATGCTTCTGGGCTTGTGCTCCCCTCCCCCATCTGCACCCCTTGTTTTCTTGGCAGCCCCTCAAGGACAGGCTCCCAGGGAGCTGTGCCGGGTCCTGTCTCCAGTGCGGGGGAAGGGTATGTGGGGGTGGGGGGGGTACTGGGCTGGGCTCCCAGTGTGTGTTGTCTGTACAAATCAGCACGAATGATTGACAGGCGGGGAGGTGGTCTCAAGTCCCAGCTCCTTCCTGCCTGCGTTGGGTTCGGCGCCTTTGCTGTGAGAGAAGCTGGATCAGATGGGACTGGGGAACTGGCCCAGGGCCTGAGGACCTCTCCAGTCACCTTCTCTGTCCTTGTCCTGGTCCTGGGCCCTAGCTCAGAGCTGCCGTGGGAGAATTCAGAGCCTCCTGCCAGGCTCTCCCCTCAACTCCCCCTACCCCCCTGCCAGCAGATGTGCCCTCATGCACCCCAAGTCCCAGGTGCATGGCAACCTGACCCCATGGGGTACAGCGGTGGGGTCAGGAGGTGAGCCTTGTCTGTGGGATACCTGTGTGGGGCTCATGCATGAGCTAACTCATGGCTGCCCTTACCCTGCCTTGGGTGGGCATGGCAGACGGTGTCCTGAGCTTTGAAGCAGGCATTCGGTAGCAGCAAGCTTGAGCGTTGCTCCCCCTTTTTACATACAGCCAAAGGGGCCTGTCAGAACTGTGACCACTGCGAGGGTATTGTGATCCTGGACTCCCCAGCATCCCACAAACCCTAATACCCACCAGGTCTCGGGGGTTGGGTTTAGAAGACCACTCTTCTTTTTTTTTTCTTTTTCTCTTTTTGGGTCACACTCAGCGATGCATAGGGGCCACTCCTGGCTCTGCGCTCAGGAATCACCCCTGGCAGCACTCAGGGGACCACATGGGATGCTGGGAATTGAACCCGGGTCGGCCGCGCGCAAGGCAAATGCCCTACCCGCTGTGCTATTGCTCCAGTCCTCCCACTCTTCTTTTTTAAAATTTAATTTTATGTTTATAAAGTTGTTCACCACAATTTATTGTATTTAATATTCCAACCCCAGTCCCACCACTATTACACTTTCCCACCATCCTTATTTCAAAATTTCCCAACCACTACCCAGGCCCTAAATAATTTATTTTGTACTGCTTGTCATGAATAATTCACTAGAAATAATCAAAGAAGATTTCCTTAGAAGAAAGTGTGTGAAAAATGTATCTCACCCTGGAGCCATTAAGCCCTGGAATAAGAGATTGCTAACATGTTGTTACAAGTTGAGTCTTGTGAGCTAATATTTTTTTCATCGACATCGGTTGCCTTCTACCCTACATCCCACCCAATGTCGTGTACTACTCCTGGTACATCGGTGGTGTAGAGTATAAGATGTCACATGCTCCAGGAATTCTGAGATTTTAAATGGGGTGATACAGCTGGAGTTAATTTTTTTCTAATTTTTGGATCACACCCAGCAATGTACAGGGGTTACTCCTGGCTCATGCACTCAGGAATTACTACTGGTGGTGCTCGGGGGATCATATGGGATGCTGGGAATTGAACCTGGGTCGCCGAGTGCAAGGCAAACGCCCTACCTGCTGTGCTATTGCTCCAGCCCCTAGAGTTAAATTTTTAACTGGATGGGGACTTTGGGTTTCTGAGGCATCTCTGCAGCTTATTGGCCTCTTCTGAGATTTATTTGTGAGTCTCAGGATCATGGCCATTAATGAGCTTATATGGTGTCAGAGGCAGTTCCTGGGGCGTGACTGCCAGGCTCCCGGAAGAACGGGGATGAGGGTAGGTCACCTATCTCCAACTCCGTGAGAACCTGGAGATTTCTGTAACAAAACCCGCATCCCTGAGTTTTTCAACAGATTTGAGGATGAGGCTTGTCCCGAGCCTGTGGAGATGGATTGTGCACATGGCAGCAATTGGGTTCTGTAGGTTTTTGGCTGCTGGGAGAAGCCCACTCTTGGAGTGGGTCTCCCAAGGCCCCTGTTCTCTTCCCAGGCTCTCCACGACACCTGGTGCCAGCAGGTCAAGTTCATCCCTGAGATGAACCTGGTGGCCTCCTGTGCGGCTATTGAGAAGGCCTCACTGGTGCTGACCATGCTGCCGGACAAAGACTCGGAGAACCCCAGGTAGGCACCTCCTTTCCTGCCCGGGACAGGGGGCTCGAGAGGTAGTTCCAGGGATGGGGAGCTTGTCTTGCATGCAGTGACTCAGGCTCCATCCTGGGACCTCCAGGTTTCTGGAACACTACCAAGAGTGGCTCTGAAGGGCCCCCAAGCCCCCTCGGGGAGGCCTGGAATCCTGGGCAGTGAAGGCCCCCAGCAGCGCTGCGTCCTCTGACCTTTATGCCGAAGCACTGGCCTGCTTGGCTGAGAGTCACTGGCACAAATCCCTGGGTCTCCTGAGCATCGTTTAGGTACCCTTACCACCCTTGTCCCCAGACAAAGAGAGCACAGGGACTGTGGTGCTCTCGTGAGGAAGGATGGCGACAGGGACAAAAGTCCTGGCCTCAGGGATGCCATGCATCGGCCTGTCGCTGGCCACAACCCTAGGCTCCATTGTGACCATTTTTTGCATCTCGGCCAGCACCTCCTAGCTGGCCCCCTTGACATTTTTTACAGGGTGTTTACATGTACTGACACTGTTATAGAATCATCACCGCTGTCTGTCCCCATAACTAGAGGTCCTGTGAAACTGAAATCCACACTTTGGAGAGCCACCAGCACTTCCCATGGTCTCCTCTCCCGCTGTGTGCATTGCCTCTGTGAACATGACGACTTTAGGCATTGCACGTGAGTGCATTCTTAGGAAATTTTTTTCTTTTGGCTTTTTGGGTCACACCCGGTGATGCTGAGGGATCACTCCTGGCTCTGCACTCAGGAATTACTCCTGGCAGTGCTCAGGGGACCATATGGGATGATGGGGATTGAACCCAGGTTGGCCTCGTGCAAGGCAAAGACCCTACCCACTGTACTATCGCTCCAGCCCCTCTGGTTTCTTCGTTTCTGTTTTTAATGTTCTTATGGGGAAGAATTTCAAACCTGTGCAAAAATAGAGAAAATGGAGCGCTTTAGTATCACTAGAACCACGTCCAGGTCAGTCTTTCCTTGCACTGATGGGGAGTCCAGATCTGGATTGCTTCTGGCAGACACAATGGGGTTTGGCTTTGGGGTGCAGGCCTCCTCCTGGCTGCTCTGTTAGAGTGGACATGGGGGCTTCTAGTGAGGAGGCCATTGCATTAATTCAGGCTATGATGATGGCCCAGACTCAGGCCGTGGCGCGATTTGGGTGCACTGAAGTGTGTGTGTGTGTGTGTGTGTGTGGCGGGGGGCGGGGGGTGTAGCTTGGAGATTTTACCTTTATACCTGGATGCACTCAACCCTACCCTGCCAGACTGGCCTTCCAGGATGCAGTTCACATACTGGCCGGAAGGTGGTGCTGTTGTATGCGTGTGTGTCAGGTCCCTGGCCCTGTGGGAGTCCTCCCAGCTGTGTGTGTCTGCAGTCAGCCTTGGGGTCAGAGACTCCCAGCCTGATGATGGGGCACTCTGGCAGCTGGCCTGAGCTAGGCTCCTTGGGTGGTTGGAGCCAGTGGTGAGTCCGATGCAGGAGCCCCGGGTCTGACTCATCCTGCTCTGCTCTCGGCCACCACCTCCTAGCTGGCCCCCTTGACCTGAACTGCTGCAGTGACCTTGCCCCCTGTGTCCTCTGGCTCCTCCCCCTGCCCAGGAGCCTGCTGGTTCTTCTGGCTCTCTATCCCCGTTGCTCCTTTTTTTTGTTGTTGCCTTTTGGGTCACACCCAGCGATGCTCATGGGTTGCTTCTGGCTCTGCACTCAGGAATTACCCTTGGCGGTGCTTGAGGACCATATGGGATGCTGGGAATTGAACCCAGGTTGGCCTGTGAGGCAAATGCCCTACCTGCTATGCTATGGCTCCAACCTCCACCCTGTCCCCTTTTGTGCCGTGTCATGGGGCAGGGAGCCTGTGCCCGCAGAGTGGAGGTGAACATCCAGTTCAGCCGACTTCTGGAGGGTTCTGGCTTTGGGGCCGCCCTCAGACACCGGGAGTGGAGGCCCGTGTACCCTGGGCAGCCTGGGGCTGCAGGCCGAGAGTGGACAGGGCTTCAGGGCTGCTCCCGCCGTGTGGTGAGAGGGTGACCATGCCCTGCCCCAGCACTGCCCTCTGCTCTCACAGGTTTTCCGTGCTGGGACTGAGGAAGGGGATTCTTTGCTTTGATTACTGCGTGGACAAGAACTTCCTCGGTGAGCCGTCCTCCAGCTGCCTGGGGCCACTGCCGTGTGTATGTGTGTGCATGCGCGTGTTTTTGTGTGTGTGCGTGTGCGCGAGTGTGTGTGTGTGTGTGTGCATGCGCACCGAGTGTGTGTGTGTGCATGTGTGTCTGTGTGCGTGCAGCTGAGGAGCAGGCCCAGGACCTGGGCGCTGTCTGCCTCCCCTGCTATCCCCCTGGTCCCCTGTGGGGTGTCTGGGGGTGGGTGATGACAGTGGCTTTTGAGGGGAGGGCGTGTCCCATCTGCCAAGCTGGCCTGAGGATTGAGGTTCAGACCAGTAGGAGGTTCGGCAGAGCCCCCTGTGGCTGATGTCCACTTCCCCCCACAGTGACCGGTGGTTATGACCCCCTCATTCGCCTGTGGAACCCCTTCTTATCCAAGAAGCCCGTGTGGCTGATGAAGGGCCACCGGGCCTCGGTGACACACATCCTCATCAACAGCAAGGACAGTAGTATCCTCGTCAGCATCTCCAAGGACAAGGTGCGTTCTGGGTGGCAGGGTCGTGACCCCACTTCCAACTCCAGGACAGGACACCAGCAGAAGGCAGGAGTCCCCTGGAGCTGAGTGGTCTTGGGGGAGCACTGGGAGGGAGTACCCAGAGGTCCTGGTCACTGGGCATCCAGCTCTGAGCTGTCCATAGGGCTGATTCCGAGATGGGGGTGTTCAGGCTGCCTTTGGACTTGGGGGGTCCGGGTGGAGGCCCTTTCTTTCTCCGAGCCTCCATTTCCCCCTCCTAGAAGGGGCTGCTCGAGGTGGAGAGGATCAGCGCTGTGTGGGTACACGGAGGTTGTGACACTTTCGTGTCTTCACTCCTGGAGGGGCACATTTGTAACCGGATGTATGTGTGGCATGCCCAGGGCCCTGCCCAGAGCCACGGTCACTTTGTTCCACCCCCTGTGAGAGCTCCCACGACTCCTGCACTTTAAAAACTTTTTAAAAAATGATTTTATTTTATTTATTATTATTTTTGGGGTCACAGTCAGTGATGCATAGGGGTTACCCCTGGCTCTGCACTCAGGAATCACTCCTGGCAGTGCTCGGGGGGACCATATGGGATGCTGGGCATTGAACCCGGGTCGGCTGCGTACAAGCAGTCTGGTGTACTATTGCTCCACCCCCCCACCCAAATTTTTTTAAAAATTGAATCACTGTGAGATAGAGCATTACAAAATTGTTCACGATTGGGTTCCAGTAGTCACGTTCCAACACCCAGAGCTCGTTTCCCAGCACCAGTGTCCCGGCTCCTGTGCTCTGTCCCACAGGCCTAGGTCTCCCTGGAGCCCTGGGTACTCCCCCATGCTCCATCACTCATGCCTGCTGGAGTCTGGAATTTTCTGGGCGGCTGGGCAGGACTGGGGGCTGTGGGATAGGCTCATGGCTGGGCCTGGACGTAGGCTGGCAGGTGGTCAGACAGACATCCATGTCCTTCCCTACTTCCTGCCCTCCGGGTCCTGGAGGGACTCCCGGGGAGTCTCTTAGGGACAAGCCCCAAGTTCATGGGGGGAACGTAGGGTGGCTGGGGTTGGGGGCTGGGGTCGAGGGCCGCCACCAGTGTTCATCCTCATCCCTTGTCCTTGGAGCACAGAGCGAGTGCCGTGGGCCAGGGGTCCCGGGAGGCCTCGGGGTCCCTGCCACCCCTCCCACTGAGCCCTGCACCCACCTCCCTGCCCGTCCTCCACCCCAGAACATCCGCGTGTGGGACATGCTCGACTACATCTGCCTCCAGTCCTTCTGCGGCCGGCTGCTGGCCCTGGGCAACTGCCCCATCACCAGCGCCTACTACCACAAGGAGGACAACATGCTGGTCTGCTGCACCTTCACTGTGAGTGCCCCCCTGGGCTCCCTCGACTCAGCCCAGCCTGTCCCCAGCTCAGCTCTGCTCCCAGATGGGATGCAAAGCTGCTCATGGAGGCCCCTGCTGCCCTGCTCCTAGCTCTGGGGCATCCTGGAGGATGTTGGGCACCCCCTCTGCCCCTGCATCCCTGGCCCTTGTGGCCAGGAGCAGCTCCCCTGAGACTATCCCAGTCCTGGCCAGGCGAATGGGGCCCCTGACAGCAGGGTTCACATGCCCATGCTGGCTCTGTTCACTGACATGAGTTGGATAGGCCTCTTAAAATCTATTTAAATTAATTTTTGTATTTGATTTAAGATTTTTTTTTTTGCTTTTTGGGTTACACTCGGCGATGCTTAGGGGTTCCTCCTGGCTCTGCACTCAGGAATTAGTCCTGGTGGTGCTCAGGGAACCATATGGGATGCTAGGAATTGAACCTGGGTCAACCGCGTGCAAGGGAAATGCCTTACCCGCTGTGCTATCGCTCCAATCCCTTGATTGAAGATTTTGTTTGGAGGCTTTTAGGAAGGGGAGAGAGGGAGAGAAAGCGAGAGAGAGAGAGAGAGAGAGTAACACGTGCTTCTCCAAAGGTGGAGGGAGTTCCTATACACCCATCCCAGCATTAGATACGAAGCACAAAAGCACACATCTCAAGAGGGGAGATGCAGGTGACAGATGTGTTCGGCCATGTGGGCACAAGTAGCACATGGGCTTGGGCAGCGTATGTGCCTAAAGTCTATTTTTAAATACTGCTCAGGGCTTACTCCTGGCTCTGAGCTCAGGAATCGCTCCTGGTGGGGCTTGGGGGGGGAGCATCTGGGTCCCCTTATGGGGATCAAACCCAAAGACCACGGGCAAGGTAAATGCCCTCCCTATCTGCTGTATCATTCCGGCTCCTGAATAGCTTTTTTAAAAAAAATCACCTCTTTCCTCCTGCTGCCTCCCCCCGACCCTACAAGGGGGGTCCTATCAGAGCTCCCACACACAAGATAAACGCTCTGTCGGCATGAGCCCCTCCCCGTTGGTGCCTGGACAACTGTACATGATGGAGCCTCCTGCTGAGGGCCAAGCACGCATCCTTCCCTTGGAGCCTCCCCCTGGCCCTGAAGAGAGCGCTGGCAGTTCATTTCAGTTTCCCACTGCTCTTTGTCGGGGCGGAAAGTGTATTCCTTAGACACCAGCCCCTCCCACAGGGTGCCGAACAGCACAGGAAAAAAAGGTTCCTCTCAGTAGAAGATGCAGAGCGGGGAGCACAGAGAAAGGATCCTTACCCCTCCCTTGCAGCAGGCAGGGAGTAGTCAGGGAAAGCTTCCTGGAGGAGAGGACACCACATTGAGGATTGGAGCCTCAATAAGAGTTATAAGAGTGAGCGTGAACTTGATGGTTCTAAGAATGCCAGGAGGTGGGAGCCCCAATCTCCGAGGTGGGTCGCAGAGGGAGATATTGGTAGACATGACCCTTGATGGGCAGAGGCCCAGGTGCCGTGAGTCTGTCGTCCCCGTTTCTCCGAGTACTTCCGGGGCCCACCGAGTGAGAGCTGCGGTCTCCTGCTCCTAGATTGGGATCCTGCAGGGGAGCCTGGAATCACAGCAGGCCGACATGGAGGTGGAGAAGACCAGCACCCACAACATGCCGCTCTGCGGAGCCCTGTACAGCACACCCATGCAGCAGGTGAGCGGGCGGCCGGGTAGCGTACGGGGCTGAGCGGGGGGTCTCAGCGGACCCCCTCACTGCTCTCCTAGGAGAGGGCTGGGCTGGAGTGCTCGGAGTCAGGACCCGGGGCCACAGTCTCGGCCTCAGCACCCCCGGCCGAGCCTGTGGTTCCAGAGCCCAGCTCAGAGCTGGGCGACCCACTGAATCCCGGCTCAAGGCTGCTGGACTCAAACTTCCCGATTAACTTCGGTGTGGGGTCTGCAGCTGCAGGGTGGCCTTCGGCCCCCGGAGGACAGAGCTCACCTGTTTGGCCTCCCCCACATTTAGGGGGTGTTTACACGCAGTGGTACCCAGGGGCCACTCCCAGCAGTGTGTGGTGGTTGCTCCAGGTGGTGCTTGGGGTCCGTGTGGTGCCAGGGGTCTTATCAGGTCCACAGTTGTCCCTTGAGCTCTCTCTGGCTCTCTTCTCTCTCTCCTGGTCCCCTGCAGGTGGGGCTGAGCAGATGCGTGAGGGGCATGGTGATGGTGGGAACTGATGACGGGCAGGAAGATGACCATGCTCCCGGCACCTCACCATCTCTTACCCCTAAGGTGTCCCTATGGCCTGAGACAGCGCCCACTCCCCCGCCCCCACAGCTGCCATCCATCTCCCTTCAGGAGGCTTGGCCTGAGCCTTTCAAGGCCTTTCTGTTGCACCCTGAGTTGTGGTGGCTGCCAGGTGTTGGCCTGAGGAGGGCCTCCTCCTCTTTCCACAGTTCCCTTCCATGGGGTGGTCAGGAATATCTTTTTTTATGGTTGTTTTAACTTTTGGGGTCACACCTAGTGATGCTCAGGGGTAACTCCTGGCTCTGCACTCAGGAATTACTCCTGATAATGCTTGGGGGACCCTATGGGATGCTGGAGATCGAACCCAGGTCAGACACGTGCAAGGCAAATGCCCTGCTATTGCTCCAGCCCCTGGTCATGGATTTCTGGTACCCCCCCCCCCCCCCAAGTCCCTTCTAAGTGAATGATTCTCCACTCAGTGGACCCTGAGTTGGAGGGGCCTTCCTCACTGCTGCCACCTCCTCTTTCTCCTCTTCCTCTTCCCCTCCTCCTCCTCAACTCCTCCTCCCCTCTTCCTCCTCCTTCCTCTCTCCTTTTCCATTTCCTCCTCCTCCCCTTTTTCTTCTTTTCTTCTCCCCTCCTTCTTCTCTGTCTCCTTCTCCTCCTCCTCCTTCTCCTCCTCATCCTCTTCCTCTACCTCCTCCACCTCCTCTTCCTCCTATTCCTCCTCTTCCTCCTCCTCTTCCTCCCCCTTTTCCTACTCCTCCTCCTCCTCCTTCCACTCCTCTTTCTCCTCTTTCTCCTCCTCCTCCTCCTCCCGTACTTCTCCCTCCCCTTCTCCCTTGTTTTGGTGCCACATCTGGTGATGCTCAAGGCTTATGCCTGACTCCGCACTCAGAGGTCACTCCTGGTGGGGCTCAGGGGACCACATGGGATGCCGGGGGTCAAACCCATGTGGTCGGCTGTGTGTCAGGCAAGTCCCTTCCTGCTGTACTGCTGTTCCGGCCCCAACCCCTGCTTCCTGCTGAGGGGTCATGGTCCCGTGCTGAGGGCAGAGGAAAGCTCATGGTGTGTGCAGGGGCCAGACGCTGTCCCCTGGGGCTCTCCTCCTGGGTCCCCCGCAGGTGGTGAGCGGCTGCGTGAGTGGCATGGTGATGGTGTGGGAGCTGATGACGGGCAGGAAGATGGCCATGTTCTCAGTGTCAGGGGACGAGCATGAGGAGCTGACGGCCATGGCCCTGGACGAGCCGGAGCGCTGCCTGCTCACGGGCCTGCGGGACGGCAGCGTGAAGCTGTGGAACTACAACAACGGCGAGTGTCTGGTCACCTTGCCCAATCCCGACCACATGGAGGTCAGTCTGGGCTTCCTGTCCACCCCTCCATTGGCACTCCCAGCTGCACGCACTCCCCATTGCCTGATGGGACTCTGGACATTGTCTGGCCTTGCTTGCCACACTGGGTCAGAACCACCGGGGCTCATTCCTGCTGGGGGATTGCCTGGTGGGGTCCTGGGGACAGACGGGCCAAGGCGCAGAGCCAAGCCAGAGCCCCCCGCTGTGAGACAGAGGCCTCTCCCCAACCCCATGATCTGGCCCTTTCACCAGGAGAAGTCTGGGCCCCGAAGCCCGGGATTTAAGAAGGGGCTGCTTCCGTGGCTGCCAGGCCTCCCCGTTCCCCACTGGTCACACCCTCAGTGAGGCAAGCGGGACAAGAGGATATTTTTTTCTTTATTTTTTAAAATTTTATTGAATCACAATGAAATATAGTTACAAGCTTTCATGTTTGAGTTACAATCAAACACCCATCCCTCTACCAGTGCACGTTCTCCACCACCAATCTCCCCAGTAACCCCCCCTTTCCCACCCTCCCATTGCCTCCATGGCAGACAATGTTCCCCATACTCTCTCTCTACTTCTGGGCATTATAGTTTGCAATACAGATACTGAGAGACCATCAGGTTTAGTCCTTTATCTACTTGCAGCACACATCTCCCATTTCGACTGATCCTCCAACCATTATTGACTTAGTGATCCCTTCTCTGTCCCAGCTGCCTTCTTCCCCAGCTCATGAGGCAGGCTTACAACTATGGAGCAATATTCCTGGCCCTTGTGTCTACTGTCCTTGGGTGTCAGTCTCACGTTCTGTTATTTTGTACTCCACAAATGATTGCAGTCCTTCTATATCTGTAGCACTGTAGCACTGTCCTCCCGTTGTTCATCGATTTGCTAGAGCAAGCCCAGTAACGTCTCCATCATGAGACTGTTGTTACTGTGTTTGGCATATTGAATACGTCACGGGGAGCTTGCCAGGCTTTGCCGTGCGAGTGAGATACTCTCAGTAGCTTGCCAGGCTCTCCGAGATGGGCAGAGGAATTGAACTCGGGTCTAAATCTATATAAGAGGATATTTCACAGTGTGTTTAGGGGACTGATACTAATGGGGTGACAGGCTGGCAAGATCACAGAAGGGGAGAAAGCAGCAGTCAGGCCCAGTTCCTGAGGGATAATTCCTGGTCTCTCGGGCCCCCGTGTTCGTGTCGAAGTCTCATGGAAATAGTCAACTTAACAACAACCCAGAAATGTCCCCCCTCTGTGCTCTGTCCCACACGCTGCCCTCTTAAGGCTGCTCTGTCCTGGGACCTAATGAGCCCTGTGCTGGCCGCACCACACAGATACACCCCCTGCCCTGTGCTGGCCCCCCCACACAATCCTCCAACCTCCACAATTCCACACAGTTCGATCTCTACCCACCCCACCCCCCACCCTGCCCCTCACTCCCCACCTGGCTCTCCAGGTTCCCAGGACGATTGACTGTGAAGGCACTAGTTTGTCTTAGTGACTTCAGTGGGGCACCTAAGCGTGAAGGAGAAGAGGGTCTCCAAGCCCGCACTGGACAGCGCCTCCCACCTCCCTCAGCCCGGGTCTCTCTGCTGGCTCCCTTGACCCAACAACTCTAACAAACAAAGGCTTTGCTCTCTGGGAAATTCTCTACCCAAGAAATCTCCTTCAGAGAAGCCTCGGGAACTTGTCTGCGGGTGCCATCTGTGGGGTCCCACCCCCGAGCCTACCCCCGCCTCTAGCTTGCTGCCTTAGGAAGGTGGAACCCAGAACCGTGGCTCCAGGCACCCCCACGCTCCTCTCTGCTCCCCAACAGATCAGTGGAATCATCCACTTGAACAAAGTGTTCTACGTGTCAGGCTGGAGCAAGAGAATCAACAGTTTCATGTGAGTGTGGGGAGCTGGCCTGGCTCTCTCCCTGGCTCACTGGCAGAGGGACCCAGGCCTGGAGGGGACATGGGGGGCTCCCCTCGGTGGTGGCAGCTCATTCCTTCTTGCAGTCAGCATGCCTCCAGGCAAGCCTGTTCTAGGCTTGTGCTAGGGTGAGGGAAGGGTGGTGATGGAACCATGAACCAGGGGTCTCTGGCACCCCGACTCATGGGGAACTGGAGGCAGACGCCAATTAGCAGATCACTTCATTTATGACCATCAAGCCTGGTGAGCGGCTGCAGGAAACCGAAGGGGCTCGTGCTCTGGAAATCTAATGGAGGAGTCCCAAGGAGTTGGCCAAGGGTGGGAAACCAGCAGGGAGCCTCTCTGGTAGCAGAGAGTGGTTAGGAAGGAACATTCTGAGCATTTTTTTTTTTAGTCTTTTGGGTCACTCCCAGCGATGCTCAGGGCTTACTCCTGGCTCTGCACTCATGAATTACTCCTGGCGGTGCTTGGGGGACCATATGGGATGCTGGGAATCGAACCTGGGTTGGCTGCTTGCAAGGCAAACACCCTACCCGCTGTGCCATCTCTCCAGCCCCATATTTTGGGCTTAGAGCAAGTCCCCTTCCACTTCAGAATGCCTTTCTTCTTCAATTTCTTTTTTGTTGGTTTGGTGTTTAGGAATTACTCTTGGCTCTGCACTCGGGAATCACTCCTGGAAGGCTCAGGGACCATATGGGATGCCAGGGATCGGACCCTCCCCCCCCCCCCCCCCCCCCCAGTTAGCTGCGTGCAAAGCAAATGCTTTATTCATTGTATGATCTCCCCCACCCCACCTTTCTTGAGCCAGACCTCCCCCTCTTAATTTTTATTTATTTATATTTGGGTTTTGGGCCACACCCAGCAGTGCTCAGGGCTTACTCCCAGCTCTGTGTTCAGGGGACCATTTATTGCCCTACTCTACTGTCTCTCCACCCTCCCCTTCTGGAAACCTCAGATCTTGTTCTGGGGGTCCGGCCTGAATTGTAAGGTCTGTTGTCGGTGTTTAGTCCACAAGGTCAGGGTGCAGGAGTTCCAACGTTTGAGCGTCCCCCTCGGGGTCTAGCACCAGGGGCCGTGTCCCCGTGAGGAGCGGGGAAGGCTCACCTAGGGGCGCTTCTGCCTCTGGGCAGGTTCCACAGGACCAAGCCACTGCTCCTGTGCTACCCCTGGCCGACCTTCCACACGGACGACATCCTGAGCATGGACAAGTACCAGAACCAGTTTCTCGGGACGGCGTCCTACAACGGGGACATCATCTTATGGAACATCTTCCTGCTCAAGCCCCTCTTGGGGTTCAACGCCTCACAGAGCTACATGGCTCTGCAGCCCCAGAAGGTGCAGCCTGGGCCCCAGGCTCCCCTCTCCTGCCTCTCAGCTCTGGGCCAGGACCACCGAGGGCATGGGGTGGGGGGAGCATTCCGGGAAGTGGAGGGAGGAGGAGAGACTTGAGCTAGGGAGGATGTTTCCCTGCTTACCTGGAGGTATGGAGAGGTTAGCATCTGGGGCCTGTTTCTGCACCCCTGCCCCTCTGAACGCTGCACCTTAGAACATCACCTTGGAGCATCCGGCCATCCTAACCGCCCCTCTCCCCTGTCTCTGAAGGTGGCCCGGGACCTGACTCATCTGGGCTCCCAGGGCCGAGGTCTAACCCCTGTGATGATGTGGATTCAAGATGCAGTTCCTGTATAGGCCCTTAATCTAGCTCCACTCCCCGCAGCTCAGCTTTTTATTTCTTGGAGCTTCCTGTTGGGAGCCGGGCCAGGGAGATGGCTCACGGGACCGATAGGCTTTGCATGTGGAAAGCACATGTAGGGAACCCTGACCATCATGGGAAGCACAGAGCCAGGAGTATCCCCCGAGGACCCCCCAGGCACGACCCCAAAACAAACAAGCAAAACATTTTTTGGGAGGGGGGTGGTGGTGATGGGAAATGTACACTGGTGAAGTGTCGGGTGTTGGAACATTAAATGACTAAATCCAATAACGGAAAAAAAAAAAGAGCAAAACATTTTGGAAACCATGACCCATGGTGCAAATGGGTAGACTGAGACCCCCAGGGCCAGAGCTCTCTGCCTTGGGGTGCTTTGTGCACAGGCAGTGACCCCGATTTGGGGGTGGGAGCTCTGGCTTGGGGTCTTGAATGGGAGTTGTTTCTAGGCCCGTGGGCAGCAGCCCAGTGGAGTTGGCCTCGGAGGGGCAGGCTAGATGGGGCCCGATGTCTCCCACTGGGCCACGGCACATCCCTGGGGCCACTGTCTCCCAGGTCTACACCCCAGAAGCCGAGGAGAAGGCGCCAGAGTCGCAGGAGGCCAGCAGGCCACACACAGCGAAAAAGTGGGCAGAGCGTTCTGCGGACCACCCAGCCCCCAGCCGCAGGGCCGGCCCCAACCTGTGGCGGAACCTGGCGTCAGCGCCTCCAGTGATGAGACAACCCAACCAGAAGGAGATGGAGGTACTTGCAGCCCTCAAAGTGAGCGTGCATAGGACCAGGCCGCACCGCCCCCGGGTCTCCTGGGTGTAGGCTGATGGGGGGCGTGGGGCCAGCTCCTCCAGCACTGCCTCTGATTGTTTCCCAGGGGGTAGAGTGACTCCCCGATGCTGACCTTGGGGGGCGTACCCATTGTTCTTTCCAGAACCCCGTCAGCACCAGCAGCTCCAGGGTGACGGGAAAGACCCCGGACGACAGGCCTGCTGCCGAGGGGACAGAGAGCCTGCAGAAGGAGGCGCTACAGAGTAGGGCCGCTGTGAAGGTGAGGAGCTCAGCCCAGGCCCACGGGCAGTGACAGCGCCTGGCCACACCAGGGACCGTGGGCTGCAGGGGGGAGGCCTGCCTGCATCCAGCCACATGGGGCCCTGGTTCTTAGAGCTCTCCAGGGGCAAGGTCAGGATGAGTGGGGCATGGCGGATGCTCCCTCAGGGGCCCTGCTGTGTCTCAGTCCCAGTGTGGCTGAGAAGTGTCTGCACCCCCTGGCTCAAATGAGACTGCAGCACCACACTCGAGGAGAAGAGTTGAGGACGGGCACAGTGTCTGCCCGGCACATGAGTGTCATATGTGAGAGGATGCGTGTGTCCTTGGGAGAGTGCTTAGAGGGTGCGCTGAGTCGTAGGGAGAGTGTTTTAGGGTGCACTGAGTCCTAGAGAGAGTGCTTGTAGGGTGCACCGAGTCCTAGGGAGAGTGCTTGTAGGGTGCACTGAGTCCTAGGGAGAGTGCTTATAGGGTGTGCTGAGTCATGGGGAGATGCTTATAGCAAGGCAGTAAGGGTGGCCCTCCCTTCCCATCCTGCTCTGGTGATGGGCCAGTGCGCAGGCTGGCTGGGAGCTGGCAGGGAGCTGCACCCTCATTCCGGTCCTGTTCCTGCTCCTGCTGGCCCCTGTCCTTCCATCGAGGTCTGGCTGTGGGGCGCCCTGTGTTCTCTAGGCTGCACTCCCGGTGGGGATGCCTGTGCTCTTCAGGGTGGTGCTTGTGGGGGTGTCCACTGGTCAGTGCTTGACACCCGGGGCTGTGCGGGAGGTCACACACTGAATTGTGGCGCTGGGGAGCTCCAGAGCTGCGGGATGGTGCTTGTGGGTGTCACCAGGGTTCAAATTTGCAAGGTGGGTGCTTTTTTGTGTTTGTTTTTGGGGCACACCCTGTGATGCTCAGGGGTTACCCCTGTCTCTGTACCAGGAATCACTCCTGGTGGTACTCAGGGGACCACATGGGATGCTGGGGATCAAATTGAGGCCAGCTGCATGCAAGACAAGTCCCTTCCTGCTGTACTATTGTTCCAGCCCCCAAGGTGGGTGCTGTTGCCACTGAGCCAGGCCCTGGGCCCTAACTCAGGCAGATATTTCAGAGGGTTCATGCTCAGTGGAACTCAGGGGGTTTCTTCGGTTGATGCCCGGTCTGGTGATACAGTGCCACTCAGTCCCAGGAATTTTCCTGCTGTTGGTAGGGCCCAGAGCTCAAGCTCTGTGGTGGTTCTGGAGCTTGCCGGAAACCTCCAGTTCTGCCCTGATAGTGCTCTGCCTTCTTCTTCTTCTTTTTTTTTTTTTAAATTTATTGAATCACCATGAGAACAGTCACAAAGCCTTTCAGTCTAAGTCTGGGTCGGTCATACAATGATCAAAAACCCATCCCTTCACCGGTGCACATTTTCCACCACCAAGAACCCCAGTATACCCCCCTGCCATCCATCCCCCGCCTGTGTGGCAGATTTCCACTTTACTCTCTCTACGTTGATCACATTCAATATTACAGCAAAAGACCCAACATTATTATTTGGAATTTTCCCGAACATTCAAACCTGCCAAAAAGATGATCACGCTCACGATCGCGATCATCCTGTTGTTCTTCGATTGCCTCGAGCAGGCACCAGTAACGTCTCCTTAACCCTAGCCCTGAGATTTTAAAAAGTGCCACATCCAAGGCTCTTTCAGGGTTAGGAGAATGAGACCCATCATTGTTACTGGTATTTGGCATATTGGGTATGGCACAGGGAGTTTGCCAGACTCTGCCATGTGGGCAGGTTACATTTGGTAGCCTGCCAGGTTGTCCAAAGTAAAAATGAGATAATAAGATGTCTTCCAGGAGCTGGGTTTTAGAGTCTCTGGGTCTTGGCTGTTGATGAGATTACCTGGCGCTGGGAGTCAGTTGGTGGGTGTGACCCCTGCCTACTGGAAGATGGAAGATCTGGATGGAGGATGCTCAGCCCCGATCTGAACAGGCTTGGAGATCTCAGCCCCATGACCTACATGCCTTTGTTCTTTTGCCGGTACCTTCATGTGTGTGGAGAGTAGTCTCAGCATGGTTGTGGCTGGTTCTGGAGGTCTTTGGCTGCCAGAGCTCTGCTCAGGGTGGGGAGGGAAACTCAACCCGCCCCCCTCCAAGGGGCCCCGGCAAGGACAGCCAGGCACGGATGGAGTCTCCTGCCAAAAAGACATCATTAGGTAATTTGTTTTCTGTTGCTGATTATGAAGAACATATGATGTCGTGTGGCTGCAATAGTGGCCATGTGAATTTGGATTTCTGATATTTTAGTAATAAGCCTAGAGGGATTACTGCCAAAAGCCCCTGGGTTCTGAGATTGGTTTGTGTGCCTCTGGGATCATGGTTGTTCAGAAGCCGGAGGAAGCATTTGAGGGTGACAACCCGGGGCATTGTCATGGTGGGGAGCAGGGTCGATTCCACCCCCCATCCCACGAGGCCCCCGTGCCTCGTCAATGCAGTCTTATACCTGGATGTTCATTAGACTCTAAATGATGGAGGCCACCATGCCTCTGCCGCAAGGGGGGACAGGCGGAGGACAGACACCCTTCCCCTCCCAGGGCAGCATAGCACCGTATTTAAATGCACAGTCCAGATGCATTTCAGTTGGACATTATATTTTGCCCAGATTTTCCCACCACCATTTCAAGCCTGTCTTTCAGGGACAAACGCTAGATCATTTACTTTCCATTGATCACTTTGCATATCAGGAAATGTTGCGCGGCTGCTTATGTAGCTGCGTGGTTCAGATACCGGAGCCATGCTTGTAGAAGCTCATGGTCGCCGGGATTCCTTCTGGAGAAGGTGGGGAAATAGCAGCTACCCCATCTGGAACCTCCCAGTGATATGGGCTCAGTATGGGACCCGGAGAATTCTCCGGGAGTTGTGGAGGCCGCCGGGCAGTTTTCTTTGCTGCTGTGTATGCTCTGCCTTCTACGTGGTGGGTGCCAGGAGATCTTCTGATTCTCGCATGTGCCACTTGGAGTCACACCCCACTAGGAACCCCTTCCTCCACAGGACACAGAAGTGACACATAAGGCACAAATGAGTCGAATGGGCCATGGACACAAGTGTGGCCCAGATGAGGCTGCAAGAGAACTCGTTTCTACGCTTGCTTGCTTTGTATGGGTGGAGCTTGGTGGTTGGCAGGAAGTATGGGTGGATGGATAGATGGATGGATGGATGGATGGATGGATCCAGAAGGATAGAGGAATGGCTGGCTGGATCCAGAAAGGATGGATAGTTAGATGGATCCAGGAAAGATGATGGATGGATGGATTGACCCAGGAAGGATGAATGGGTGGATGGATCCAGAAAGGATGGATGGATCCAGGAAGGGTGGGTGGATGGATCCAGGAAGGGTGGGTGAATGGATCCAGGAAGGGTGGGTGGATGGATCCAGGAAGGGTGGGTGGATGGATCCAGAAAGGGTGAATGAATGGATCCAGGAAGGGTGGATGGATGGATCCAGGAAGGGTGGGTGAATGGATCCAGGAAGGGTGGGTGGATGGATCCAGGAAGGGTGGGTGAATGGATCCAGAAAGGGTGAATGAATGGATCCAGGAAGGGTGGATGAATGGATCCAGGAAGGGTGGGTGGATGGATCCAGGAAGGGTGGGTGAATGGATCCAGGAAGGGTGGGTGGATGGATCCAGAAAGGGTGAATGAATGGATCCAGGAAGGGTGGATGAATGGATCCAGGAAGGGTGGGTGGATGGATCCAGGAAGGGTGGGTGAATGGATCCAGGAAGGGTGGGTGGATGGATCCAGGAAGGGTGGATGGATGGATCCAGGAAGGTGGATGGATGGATCCAGGAAGGGTGGGTGGATGGATCCAGGAAGGGTGGATGGATGGATCCAGGAAGGGTGGGTGGATGGATCCAGAAAGGGTGAATGAATGGATCCAGGAAGGGTGGATGGATGTATCCAGGAAGGGTGGGTGGATGGATCCAGGAAGGGTGGGTGAATGGATCCAGGAAGGGTGGGTGGATGGATCCAGGAAGGGTGGATGGATGGATCCAGGAAAGGTGGATGGATGGATCCAGGAAGGGTGGGTGAATGGATCCAGGAAGGGTGGGTGGATGGATCCAGGAAGGGTGGGTGGATGGATCCAGAAAGGGTGAATGAATGGATCCAGGAAGGGTGGATGGATGGATCCAGGAAGGGTGGGTGGATGGATCCAGGAAGGGTGGATGGATGGATCCAGGAAGGGTGGGTGGATGGATCCAGGAAGGGTGGATGGATGGATCCAGGAAGGTGGATGGATGGATCCAGGAAGGGTGGGTGGATGGATCCAGGAAGGGTGGATGGATGGATCCAGGAAGGGTGGGTGGATGGATCCAGGAAGGGTGGGTGGATGGATCCAGGAAGGGTGGGTGGATGGATCCAGGAAGGGTGGGTGGATGGATCCAGGAAGGATGGCCTCAGACACTGAGGACGAAGTGGGGGAGTTAATCCTCTTTCCCAATCACAGTGCAGTGTGACAGGCCTTAGAAAATCATGGTTGAGTAATAGGAAAAAACAAACTTATGTGCCTTTTATTTAAACAGCTCAACTTAGAAAACATTTTATTTTTGTCTATTTTTGCCATACTGAGCAATGCTCAGGGATTTCTCCAGCTCTGTGCTTGGGGATCACCCTGGCAGGGCTCAGGAGAGCCTATGGGGTTCTAGGGATTGAATCCACATTTCTTTGGCCCCTAAAAACCTTAAGGCATCAGTTTCTTCCTCTCAAAATGCCACAGTCCTTTACCACCAATGACCCAAGGTTTCCTCTGTACCTTCTTTGCAAACAAATTCAAAAACATATTAAAGTTTGGACCACTATGCTTGCAATAGTCCCCCCGCCTCTCTTTCTCTCTCTCTCTCTCATTTTTTTGGGTGGGGGTGTCCCAAACTCAGTGATGCTCAAGAACTTTTATTAGGTCTGTGCTTAGAAGTGACCCCTGGCACTGCTCAGGGCACCTCACGTGGTGCTGGGATTCGAACCAGGGTCCCATTCATGGCAAGTGCCTTCCTTCCTTATACTGTCTCTCTGGCCCTAGCCCCAATAGTGTTAAATACTCTTTAAAAAAATATATTTTTTTAAATTTTTGGGTCACAACCGGCAATGCTCAGGGGTTACTCCTGGCTCTGCACTCAGGAATTGCTCCTGGCGCTGCTCAGGGGACCATATGGGATGCTGGGAATCGAACCCAGGTTGACCGCGTGTAAGGCAAATGCCCTAACCGCTGTGCTATCACTCCAGCTCCTTAAATACTCTTTTGGTATTTAATTATTTATTTTCTTCTTGGGTTTTGGGGCCACACCTAGTGGTACTCAGGGCTTACTCTGGGTTCTGTGCTCAGGGATCCCTCCTGGAGGTGCTCTGGAGCATTGGGGATCAAGCCCTGGCTGGCTGTGTGCAAGGCAAATACCCCAACCTGTTGTACAATTGCTCTGGCCCCTCCATGTCTCTTTTCAAAGGAACGTTTTCACAGCCAACTCTCATGTGTCTTTGGGAAACAAGAACTTGGTGATCACGTGGCACTTGTGGCTGCTGGAATCCACCCCAGCACAGGCAGCTTCTAGTACGGGAAACTTTCCCTGTGGCCAGCAGGGTGGGAGGAGTCTCACTGGGCACGTAGAAGACAGGGGACTTGCTGGGGCGGGTTCCTTGGGACCGGGGGGGCCCTGGCTCCTGACAGCCCCACCCGGGCTTGCCCACCCCGCAGATCATCTTCCTGCAGACCAGGCCCCGGCAGCCGCACACGGCCGCCCTGCTAAGCAGTTGCACGGATGGCTACCTGTATGCATGGTCCACTCATGGCAGTGGCGGCCTGCTGGGCAAGTTCCCCTCGGGCCTCACGGAAACCGAGAACGTGGTCGTGGGCACCATGACCACGGACAAGAATGACTTGATCCTTCTCACAGGGGACTCCAAAGGGCAGATCAAGGTGAGGGACTGGCGTTGGCCCCCGGGGCGGGCACTGTCTTTCCATCTCTCAAAGGTGAGGGTGGGTCTCTCCAGAGCCCTCTCCTGCTCGGGAGCACCAGTGGGACCAGTGTGTGGTTCTAGCAGTCCCTCCATGGCACCCTTCCCAGGGGATGTGGAGCCCTGTTGTTCTCTCCCCCAGACCCCCTCGCCCCTTAGTTGTACCTCCAGCCTGGGTTCCGCTCTCTTGAGCACTGAGCTGAATGAAACATGCAGAATGCCTTGTCCTGGGGCCAGCCCCTTGCTCCGCAGGCCCTCTCCTGGGTCTGAACCAGCAGATCCTGGGGACCCCTTCTGGGTAGAAGAGCTCTCAAAGGGGACCCAAGAGATAACACAGTAGGTAGTGCGCACTTTTCTTTCTTTTTCCTTTGTTTTGGGGGGATCACACCCTGCGATGCACAGGGGTTACTCCTGGCTTTGCAACTCAGGAATTAACTCCTGGCAGTGCTCGGGGGACCATATGGGATGCCAGGGATCGAATCCTGGTCGGCCGCATGCAAGGCAAATGCCCTACCCGCTGTACTATTGCTCTAACCCCAGGGCACTTTTCTTGCAGCTGACCTGGGTTCAATCCCTGACACCCCATAGCATCTCCTTAGCCCTGCCAGGAGTAGCCCCTGAGCACAGAGCCAGGAGTAAGTTCTGAGCACAGCCAGGTGTGGTCCCCAAACAAAAACGAAACAAATGCTCAAAGGTCAGAGGAAGAACCACCACTTTGCCCCCAGTGTGAACAGAAGTGATCAGGGAGGGGTCCACAGAGTGGGCTGGGGTTAAGGGCTGCCGGCCCACTGACCCCCACTTTATGCCTAGATCTGGGACATCAAGGATTACTGCATGCCCACTAGCAGGCATCCACAAGGGCGCCGGCCCGGGTGGCAGTCTCTGCCTGTGAGGAACAAGTTCCAGTACTTGATCTCTAAGCGGATCCGGACTGCCGGCCCCTACTTTGTCCCCCTGAAGCCGACTGAGGTAGGAGGATGCTTTGCATGGTGCTTTGGAGACTGGGCCAGTGTTCTTTTCTGAGTCTTTTGTGTTTATAAGTACATACACCCCAAACGTACCCTGGTCTCTCTCTCTCTCTCTCTCTCTCTCTCTCTCTCTCTCTCTCTCTCTCTGTCTCTCTGTCTCTCTCTCTCCCCCCCCCCAATGGGCTCTGCTTTTTGCAAATAGGATCTTAGAGTTATGATTGAGTTATTTTTGTTTTAGTTTTCGTTTATGGGTCAGGGACCGAACCCGAGTTGACTGCATACAAGGCAAGCACCCTGCCTGCTGTACTATTGCTCCGGCATACAAGTTTCTTTTTAAATTGATGAAAATGCTTCTTTATTTTCCTGAGCAGGTAATAGAATTATAATATCCCAAAAGCTCTTGTTTTCTCCCTGCTGAGGACTAGTGAAGTTGAAGACCTTTTCATTAGTTGGCAGGGGGATGCAAGGCAAAGCCACACATAGTACCACCTCAGATCCCCGCCCCCCTCAGGGTGACAAACACTGAAAAGCAGTATAAGCTGCTGGCAGGAATAATGATCAACTAAAGTTTTTACTGTTGGTAGGAAGGTCTGTTGTAATAATGGTATTTGCACTCTGGGGAACTGTTTGGCAGTAGTTAGGAAGTTAAAGATAATTACTTGTGGGGGCCGGAGTGATAGCACGGCGGGTAGGGTGTTTGCCTTGCACGAGGCTGACCCGGGTTCGATTCCCAGTACCCCATATGGTTCCCCAAGCACCGCCAGGAGTAATTCCTGATGCATGAGCCAGGAGTAACCCCTGTGCAACGCCGAGTGTGACCCAAAAAGCAAAAAACAAAACAAAACAAAAAAACAACAACAGAACAACAACAACAAAGATAACTACCTGCTTTAGGATCCAGCCATTCCTCTTGTAAATTTCTACCAAGACACCTACACTCTTAATTTTAGAGTCACACAGATAGGAATAGGAATGTCATCTCCACATTTGAAATGATGGAAATGTCTGTCAGTGTAGATTGGAAAGACAGATTGTGGCCCCAAACCCAAACTCAGAGGTGCTCAGGGCTTGCTCCTGGATCGGTGCTCAGGACTTACTCCTGGCTCTGTGCTCAGGACCTACTCCTGGCTCTGTGCTCAGGGATCTCTCTTGGTAAGCTTAGAGGACTATATTGGATGCCGGGGATCCAACCTGGGTCAGCCACATGCAAGGCAAGCGCCTTACGTACTGTACTGTCTCTCCAGCCATAGGAATTGTTTCTTATTGTAATTGATTTTAACAGGTAGTTTTGCTCATTAGTGACATTGACGTTGTCCTCATTTAAGGGCCGTGGAGAATTTTGTGGATTGCCTTTTCATGGCTTCTTAATTTCCCCCATTCTGGTCATAGCGCTCAGGTGCCACTCAAGGCTCTGGACTCAGGGCTCACTCCGCTGAGTTCTGGGGGATCATGCACATGACTCTCACTTGCAAATGATATATAGCCTTTTAAAAATACATTGATATGGGGGCTGAAGCAATAGCACAGTGGGTAGGGCATTTGCCTTGCACATGGCTGACCCGAGTTCGATTCCCAGCATCCCATATGGTCCCCCAAGTACGGCCAGGAGTAACTCCTGAGTGCAGAGCCAGGAGTAACCCCTATGCAATGCCGGGTGTGACCCAAAAAGCAAAAAATAAAATAAAATATATTGCTATTTCCCATCTACTGACACTGTTTTACTCAGAGAGGAGAAGTCATTGCTATCTTGGAGCTGTTTTATGGTTTCCTCAAAAAGAATTCTTCACCCCTTCTAATGTTTATCTCGTTGCAATATATTAGATGGTGATCTGAGCTTCTCTAAATGGTGTATTGGGTTTCTGGTGAGTTTATTCCCACACATTTCTCCCCTCTTGTACCATAGGCCAAGATGACATAAATCTATACTTAGATTGTTTCCAGACACGCCCTTGTCTTCCATTGTCTTGGTCAACATTGTTATAACCTACATTCTAATCTGCCAAGTGGCTTAACACACTTGAGGATGGTGATGTGGGTCTCTGTTTTCATTGGTATTGTTTTGTTTAAAATTGGCTGGGTTACTCACACCCAGTTCCCAGCTGCGTTTCCTTCTTACCTAGTATCCAGCCCCCTTGGCTTCACTCACCCCATGCTTCTCCCAGTGCCCAGTGGAGTCGCTTTAGAGGAAACCAGGGCTCCTATGCTGGCACGGTGACTTGCTGGGCATGGCTGGTCACTACCTGTCCCTGCTTCTCACTGCTCTCCTGGAAACAGTGAGACAAGGAAAGGTGCTGTTGGAGCTTGTGATGTTCCCAGAGCAGGCCACATAGCAACAGGCAAATGCTTCTTAGGATTTTACGAAAGTGCTCAGGGGGCTCGAGAAGTGCTAGGATTCACCGATGATCCAAGAAAATGAAGGTGAGAACGTGTCTAACCGCCAACCCCAGCGCCTGTCTCAGGACCCCTCAGGGACTCTCTGCCTCCGTCCTGGGGGTCCCTCTCTCCCATCACCCTGCATCCTGGATAACTTCTGTGCTGCCTGTTCCCCGTAGGTGGTGTCTGGTCAGACTGTTTCCCTGGTTCCTCCCAAACTCCTGATTTCCTGGAAGGGCCACGAGGAGAGTGTGGTGGACATCCGGTATGTGAACAGCTTCCAATTGCTCATCACTGCTGGTCTGGACCGGGACGTCAAGGTTTGGAAAGTCTCCGGTGAGGCCATTGGTACGGGACCCGCTGAAGCTGCACAACCCTTTGCGTCCCTGTCCTTGTTAGAGCAGAAGCTGGTCCAGGGGAAACTGTATATCCATCCTGCCACCTGGTGCTTTCCGTGCAGCTGTGCTCTGCTCAGACTTCATATTTATAACTGACAGTGCTCAGGGCTTACTCCTGGTTCTGTGCTCAGGGATCAGTTCTGGCAGTGCTCAGGGGACCATAGGGGCTGCCGGGGGTTGACCCCAGTTGGCCACGTGCAAGGCAAGCACCCTCCCTGCAGTACTATCGCTCCAGCCCCAGCCTTAAACTCTAGGAAGAGATGATTTAACCTACTCCCCAAGGATTAGATACTTCACCCACGAGGGCAGAAACATCCAGACTCATTAGACCCACAAAGACTAAAGCATTTAGCTCCAACGAGTCTATAGGACGTGCTCTAGGCTGAGAGGGCATCCCAGTAGTATCAGGGAAAACACCACAGGAAATTATGAAGACCGCCGGGAAAGGTGCTGTCTGAGCACATACAGGATACAACACGGTCATCACAAAATTGTGGCCTAGGGCTGGAGCGGAGAGGGCATTTGCCTTGCACACGGCCGACCCGGGTTCGATCCCTGGCATCCCATATTGTCCCCCCGAGCACTGCCAGGAGTAATCACTGAGTACAGAGCCAGGAGTAAACCTTGAGCATCGCTGGGTGTGACCCAAAGAGCAAACAAAACAAAACAAAACAAAATTGTGGACTGAAAACAAAAGGAATGTGGTGATAGTTCCAACATCCACAGAGATAAAAATGCAACGAGAGCAGCAAATTCTCTAACAGCAGATGGCATTAGAGATGAACATCTGACCTTCCAGCCAGAGAGATGTAGTGTAGTGTTCCAGGCTCAGCTTGTATCCTGCCAAGCTCCGTTCAATTCCCGGCACTTCATATTGTCCCCTGGGTTCCCCCAGGAGCCACTCCTGAGCACAGAGCCAGGAATAGCCCCCAGGGGGGCAGGGCACTTGTTTTGCACAGGCTGACTCCATCGTTGGCACCACTTGGGGTTCCCAGAGCACCATCAGAGCTGGCCCCTGAGCGCAGTGGGGCTTGCCTGCTCCCCTCCCTTCCACGCAGAGAGGATGGCTCTAACACACCTTTGTTATTCAAGAAATTGTAAGCCGGAGTGAGATAGGGGTTTGCTACTCCCTGCCCAGAGCAGGTCTCCTGTGTCTATTTTTGCTACAGCCGCTTCCTTCGACCCTTTGCCTCACCTCGAGGGACTCCTGCTCGCCCAACCAATGTTATCTTAGAGCTGAGCAGCAGGGCGTTCTGGGGGGCCCGCTCCCCTCTGCCCATTCACGGGCAACTTTAGGCCTGAGTGCCAAGCGTCTCCTCGGCTTGGGGCTGGTTCTTCCACATACCGGTTGAGTATCAGCAAAATGCCTGGCACACGGTGGTCACGATAACCTAGAGGCCAGGGTCAGGTGGTCATTTCCATTGGGGAATTACTTTTCCTTTTTTCTTTTTTGGCCACACTTGGTGGTGTTCAGGGCTTATTCCTAGCTCTGTGCTCAGGGATTACTCCCGGTGAGCCTGGAGGCAGGAGGACCATAAAAGGTGCCTGGGATCCAACCTGGGTTGGCCACATGCCAGGCAGATCTCCCCACCTGCGGTCCTACTGTTTTGGCCTGTCACTGGGTGATTGGTAGGGGTGGCGCATGGGTGGGCAGGGGCTGCAGAAGTCATCGGAGGGGCCTCTCTTGTCCCTGTTCCTGAGTTGCTTCTGTTGGCAATCACAGGCACATTTGGCCTGACCATCTGGAAGAAGCTGCAGACGGTGGACATCGAGCTGAACAAAGGCTATAACGACACATCCATGTTCATGGACAGCAACCTGCAGACTCTGTATGAGGAGCAGCCGTGAGTTGCCATGTCCCACCTGCCCTCTGGCCCAGCGAGGGGTGCGAGAGGCCAAACCCCCACCAGGACCCAGGGGGTCTGGGCATGTTTGTGGAGGGCGCTCAGGAGGCCAATGGCTTGGGGACCCTCGGGGGGCAGCAGTGACCTCAGAGCTGGTGGCTCTGTTCTCATCCATTAAGCAGAGAGGTGAGAAGTCCCAGGGCTCCGCATGTGGAATTGAAGCCCCCATCCTTAACGGGGCTGCCCCAGACGAGGCTCCAGCTTGCACCCCCGATGCCCCCCTCTGGCCAAGCCCTGGCACGAGTGCCCATGGCTGTGGTCTTAAGCAAATTCTTGATCTCCCTGAGCCTTGGGCAAGAGCATCTCCCGACAGGCTTGTCCTCCCCTGACCAAGTCTCCAACAATTCTGAGCTTTTCTTTCCCAGTGGAGGGGAGCACACCTGGCGATGCTTAGGGGTTACTCCTGGCTCTGCTCTCAGGAATCACTCCTGGGGGTGCTTGGGGGACCCCACGGGATGCCGGGGACTGAATCCTAGTTGGCTGCATGGAAAGCAAATGCCCTACATGCTACTATCGCTCCAGCTCCTATTCTGGAAAATTGGATTTTCCAGGATAAACATAAATAATTAAAAAATTATAAAAATAATATAATAGATCATTATATAATAAATTATAGTATAGGTAATATATAATTACATAATTAATATAATAAAATAATATAATAATGAAAAATAAAAAGAATGCATAAACATCTTGAAAACTGTTTTGAAAAAATTTGATAAAAAATTTGAAAAAATGTTTATGCATTCTTTTTATTTTTACTGAGACCCTGTGGGCTCCAGGCTCTGTGCCAGGTTCTGGAGATCTGGAATAATGCAGGCGCAGGCGCGGCTTGGATCACTTAGCATCCGCTTAGGGACATGTCTGCGCCAATGCATAGCCACGTGAATGTGAGTAGTGAGGGGGTGGAGGAGGAGTTGGGAAGGCTTAGAGGAGACTCACCTGGCTGGGCACATCATGGATGGGGGCTTCCCAGAGAGGGGATTTTGGCACTGGGGTTTGACATCTAGGAAGGAGATGGTCAAAGAGTCTTTGTGACATGTTTATTCCCATCCATACCTATAAGTACTGTTTTGTGTGTTTTGTGGGAGAACTTAAAATAAGACAGTGGTAGTATTTATCTCTGTGTGTGTGTGTGAGAAAGAGAGAGAGAGAGAGAGAGAGAGAGAGAGAGAGAGAGAGAGAGAGAGAGAGAGAGAAGGAAAGAAAAGGGTGGGAGGAAGGGAGAACAAAAATGGAAAGTAGAGGGTAGAGGGTCTGGAGCGATAGCACAGTGGGTAGGGCATTTGCCTTGCACGTGGTAGACCCGGGTTTGATCCCCGGTATTCTATATGGTCCCCTGAGCACCGCCAGGAATAATTCCGGAGTGCAGAGCCAGGAGTAACTCCTGTGCATTGCCGGGTGTGACCCAAAAAGAAAAAATAAAAAGACTACTAAGGGGTTTTGTTTTGGGTGGAACTTTGGAGTTTGGTTTGGTTTAGTTTGATCTGGGGACTGTACCCTGTGGAGCAACTCCTGACTATAGAGTTGGGGGACCGTGCAGTATCAGGGATCAAACCCAGGCTTTCTACACAAAAAGCTTGCACTCCAAAGCCTATGAGCTGGGATTCCAGCCTGTGAGCTATCTCTCCAGCCTTATTCAGAAATATGAAAAATAGTCCAGGACAGAGAACTGTCTCAGGAGATTTCTTAAAGGACATGATGTCTTGATCGAAACCTACAGTGGAATCAGGAGAAGGGGGAGCAGGAGAATAACGCAGCAGATAAGGTGCCAGCAGGTACACGCCGACCTGGGTTTGATCTAAAGCACCCCATATGGTCCTCTGAATCCACCAGGACTGATACCTGAGCACAGAGCACAGAATGATACCTGATGCACTGCACCCAGCGATGCACAGGGGTTACTCCTGGCTCGTGCACTCAGGAATTATTCCTGGCGGTGCGCGGGGGACCATATGGAATGCTGGGAATCGAATCGAACCCGGATTGGCCGCGTGCAAGGCAAACGCCCTACTTGCTATGCAATCGCTCCAGCCCCTCCACCTCCTTTAAAAAGTTTTTTTCTTTTAAGTGAAGCAAGAGAGTTTTTACTGAAGCTCACGTAGAGGGATGTGAGGGGAGAGAAAGAGGAAGTTCATGTTTGAGAGAGAGCATGGGCTTCTCCAGAGTGGATAAAGCAGATACAAGCAAGCGAGATCTGGGTTCAAGGGTGAACACGGGCTTGAAGGGCAAGCCAAGTCAGCCAACAATGATATGCAACCTAACAGTTTCAATCAGGCTCAAATTCTAGTCCCACAAATACATTATTACAAATCGAGAATGCACTGAAAATAAAAGATATGGGGTGGTATCAAGTTTAACAAGGAAAGCTGACCTTTACATAGAGGTCTAGCATGGAGAAAATGTCCAAACTGATCAAAGGCAGCATGAGGGGGCTGGTGCGATAATATAGCGGGTAGGGCATTTACCTCGCACACGGCCGACCCGGGTTCGATTCCCAGCATCTCATATGGTCCCCTGAACACTGCCAGGAGTAATTCCTGAGTGCAGAGCCAGGAGCAACCCCTGAGCATCGCTAGGTGTGACCCAAAAAGCAAAAATAAATAAATAAATATTAAAAAAAATAAAAAGGAAAGTAAGAAGAAAAGAAGGACGGGAGGGAGAGAGGGGGCATGTGGGTGCTCCCACGAGGGAAGGTCCAGCTAAGGGGCGGGGTGTCCGGTTTTCTGTGGAGGGGAACCCAGCTCTGTGGGATGGGGTGTGTGGGGGGGTCTCAGGACTCATTGGGGTGCATTTCCCCTGGGTCCTGTCACGCGTACAGAGGGAGGGTGGGGCCTCGCAGTGCCTCTGTAAGAGCCGTCCTGCCCCCAGGGGTGACGTGGATCTGGCCAGCGCCCTGGAGTACCAGCGGCAGGAGCAGATCGCCCTCCTGGCCCTGCTGCACATGAAGGGGGACATGGAGACGGAGGCCTGGGCCGCCCTGCGGAAACTGACCCTGCAGTGCCCCTGGGGCGGGGAGCGCCCCCTGGAGGACATCGAGAGCAGCTGGCGCGCGTGGGAGAGCCGGGCCCAGACGGTAAGGGGGGGTGGGGTGCGGGGGCTGGGGGCCCCGGGTGGGGGGCCCCGCCGGGCTCTCGCAGGGCCTTCACCCTGGCGCCCACGCTGCAGGTGAACAAAGTCGCGGGGGGCACCTACTGGCCCAGGGAGCGGGCGCGGAGCCCCAGCGTGCACTTCAGGGACGTGCAGTACGGCTGCATGCGGCTCCAGGTACGGAGCAGAGCAGGGGCTGGGGGCGCGGGGTAGGACGGACCCCTGGCAACTGTGGGGCGGGGACACGGGAAGGGCCACAGAGGAAACCCAGGGCCCTTCCCTGGGGCGGAGGAAGCCGCAGGGGGCCTGGAAGAGACCCCCAGAGACCCCTCCTGCCTCTGGCTCTCGCATCTCCTGGGTCAGGGGGCCTTGCGGGGACCCTGGCCCTGGGCACAGGGAGAGCCTGGGAGCGTCCACCTCAGAGCCAGGACCTGTGTCCACGTGTCCCAGAGGAGGCGGGTCGCCCCTCGGTCCTGGGGACCCACCCCGTGCTCCCCCCACTCTCTGCCCACAGATCTCCCCCCGGATCTTCCAGAGCCTGCACTTCAACGAGCTGGCCGCTGTCCAGCAGCCCGAGCTCCTGCAGGAGGCCCTGGAGCAACCGGGCAGCAGCGGGTACACGGTGGCCCACAAGCTCTGGCAGAAACTGTGCTCCGAAGGGGACACCAGGGCCAGCACAGCCTCTGTGCTCTCCTCGCTCTTCTCCACGGCCTCGGGCTCTGCGTACCAGGATTCCACCCCCTCCTCCTCCCTTTTCTTACATTCAGGCTCCATTAGCTCCAGGGGTGCCAGGCCCAAGTCTGGGACCCCGATGCCCGTTGCTGCCTCCTCCAGGCAGCCCACCGGGTTTCGAAAGACCTCCTCTAGATCCTTGATAAGGAAGGGCACCCCTGTGCAGCTCTGAGGGTTCCCTCGTCCCACAGACTGTCAGCAGCCCACCAGGCCCCTGGATGGACCTGCCCGTCCCAGGTTCTTGTCTGCCTCTCCCCAGCTCTCCAGGCTCTGTGCAGTCAGGGATATGGATCGATATGGATCTTCCTTGGACTCCCCAGGAGGAAATAAATGCAGCAAGATGTTGGGGCCATGCCCCGGGCTGAGGCTGTGTGCCAGGCTGTGTCGGGGCCAGGGGGGCTGTGTGCTAAGGCCATGTGGCCACTAGACCATGGCATGGGGCTGGGCAGGTGTCCAGAGGGGCCTCTGTATGTCCTCACTGGGTGTCCTGGGAGGGACTTGGGTGCTCTGCGACCACCTTGTGGGGTTGACCAGCCAGTGTGTGTCCATCTCACTGTGTGTCAATCTCACTGTGTGTCCTCCTTGCTGTGTGTCCTTTTCACCGTGTGTCCATCTCATTGTGTGTCCATCTCACTCTGTGTCCTCCTTGCTGTGTGCCCATCTCGCCGAGTATCTTCCTCACTCTGTGTCCTTCTCAATCTGTGTGTTCTGCCCGACCATTTGTCCTGCCCAGTCTGTGTCGTATCTGCTTGTGCGTCCTTCCTAGTGTGCATCTGTCCCTCTCCGAGAGACCCTGAGTGGACACTCTGTGCTGTAGCTCATTTGGGGAAGGCTCAGAGGTGCAGTGGACAGGCCTGTCCTACCCAGCCCTAGGGCTTGGTGTCTTCTTTGGCCCTGCAGCACCGTCCCAGCCACCCCACGTTGGGTCAGTGGGCGGTCTGGACACACCATCCGCAGGGGGAACCCGGGGGCTGCTGCAGGCCCAGCATTGGTGGGGACTGGAGACTCTCTGGAACTGGCGGTGTCCCTGCAGGCCCTCCTGTCCACTCTGTGGCTCAGCCCCGGGACGGCGTGACTCCTGGGCCCTCTGTTTGGTGGCCTCCACTGCCTGCCTTCCCCCTTCCTGTGTGAGCTCACCAGGTGCTCCGGTAAGGAGTGAGGAGGGTCGAAGCTGACATCGACTTGCAAAGTCCCAGCTTGTCACACGTGCGGGTGCGCAGCCCCCTGGCTGCCCCCCAACGCCCCCCGCCCCAACATGGCCGAGGCCGGCAGGTGTGCTCCCAGGCTCGCTCCCCGGTGGGGCCAGCACAGTGGGGCCCCAATCAGTGTCACATCGCAGGGGCCGACTGTGGAGCTCTCCAGTCTGCACATCAGGACAGAGAATCACTGGAAGGGACTCCAGGCCCTCTGAGCACTGCTCGGGAGCTCCCCTGCCCCCTCATCCCGAAAAGACTGCACAGAAATGCCTGGTCTTGCAGCTGTGGTATGCAAAAGCCTGGGCTGTGGCAGCCGCTCCCCTCTGACATGGGGGGCTTCTCCCTGGCCCCTCACAGCCTCTGCGGGAGGGCAGCAATGTGGGGTGTCCCGGTAGGTCTGAGCATTCTTCTTCTTCTTCTTCTTTTTTTTTTTTTTTGCTTTTTGGGTCACACCTGGAGATGCCCAGGGGTTACTCCTGGCTCTGCACTCAGGAATTACTCCTGGCAGTGCTCGGGGGACTATATGGGATGCTGGTAATCGAACCCGGGTCGTCTGCGTGCAAGGCAAATGCCCTACCCACTTTGCTATCACTCCAGCCCTGCAATCTTATTTTTTAAATTGAATCACAGTCAGATACACAGTTACAAAGTTGTTCATGATTGTATTTCAGTCATATAATGTTCCAACACCTGCCCCTTCACCAGTGTGCATTTTCCACTATCGATGTCTCCAGTTTCCCTCCCATACCTCCCCGCATGGAAGATACTTCTCTCTGCCTCTCTCTGTTACACTCTCTCTCTCTCTCTCTCTCTCTCTCTCTTTTCTCTTGGGCATTATGGTTTGCAATACAGGCAATGAAAGGTCATATCATGATTGTCGCTCTACCTTTTTTTCAGCACTCAGATCATTTCTAACTCTCTTTGCCGTAGTGGTCCCTTTTCCATCCTCGCTGCCCTCTCCCGACCACTTGTGGCAGGCTTCCAACTGTGGACCATTCCTCCTGGCCCTTGTTTCCACTGTCCTTGGGTAATACAATCATACTATGCTTTTTAGTAGTCCGCAAATGACTGCAATCATTCTCTCTTTCCCTCCTACTCAGCATGTTACTCTCCATGTCCATCAATTTATATGCAAATTTCATGACTTCATTTTTCCTGGTTGCTGTGTAGTATTCCATTGTGTAGACTTTTCACAGTTTCTTTATCCAGTATTCAGGCACTGGGGTTGTTTCCAGATACTGGCTATTGTGAATGGTGTTAGTGAGCATGGAGGTGCAGATGGCTTTTCTATGGTATGAGTTTGAGCCCCTGGGATAAAGTCCCAGAAGCAATATTGCTGGGACCTTTAAAAAAGTTAAAAAGTTTTTATTTTATTATTTTTTAAATTTTTTTTTTATGTAGGAGTACGGCTATTTATTTAGCCACTGATTAGCTGATTGAATTGGGCACGAACTCTACCTTACTTTTATTTTCATTTTTTATAATTTTATTTATTGAATCATCGTGAGAGCAGAAGTTAAAAAGTTTTTAACTTTTTGAGGAATGTTCATATTGTTTTGCCAATAGGCTGGACTGGTCTGCATTTCCCACTAGCAATGAACAAGGGTAGCTTTTTCCCTGCATCCACACCAGCACTGGCTGTTCTTATTCTTTTTGATGTGTGCCAGTCTCTGTGGTGTGAGATGATAATCTCATTTTTGTTTTGATTTGCGTCTCTCATGATTAGTTACGTAAGAGCATTTTTTTCATCTGCCTTTTAACCATTTGAATTTCTTCTTTGAGGAAGTTTCTATTAATTTCTTCTCCCCATTTTTTGGTGGGTTTGGATTTTTCTTTCATGTTAAGTTCTGCCAGTGCCTTAATATATTTTGGATGTTAACTCCTTATCAGATGGGTATTGGGTAAATAATTTTGTCCATTCCCGGGCTGTCTTTGTATCTTGGTCAGCATTTCTTTTGAGGCACAGAAGCTTCTCAGTTTAATGTATTCCCATGTGTTTATCTTTGCTTCCAGTTGCTTGGTCAGTGATGTTTGGTCTTTGAAGATGCGTTTAGCTTCAGTGTCATGAAGGGTTTTGCCTACATTTTCCTCTATGTACTTTATGGATTCAGGTCTGATGTTGGGGTCTTTAATCCATTTTGATCTGACTTTTATGCATGGCATTAGGTAGAGGTCTGAGTTCATTTGTTTTTTTAACAACAACAAAAAGAACTCAGCACCACTTGTTGAAGAGGCTTTCCTTGCTCCATTTCCTATTTCTTGCTCCCTTATCAAAGATTAAATGATCATATATTTGAGGGTCTGTGTCAGGATATTCAATTCTATTCCACTCGTCTGCCTATTTTTATTTCAGTACCATTCTGTTTTAATTGCTACCGCATTGTAGTACAATTTGAAATTGGGGCAGGTGATGTGTCCCATCTTCTTTTTCCCAATGATTGCTCTAGATATTTGTGGGGATTTATTGTACATATGAATTTCAGTAGAGCTTGATTTATTTCTTTGAAAAATGTCATGGGTTTCCTTATAGGGACTGTATTGAATCTGAATAATACTTCGGGGAGTATTGCCATTTTGACAATGTTAATCCTCCCAGTCCGTGAGCAGGGAATATGTTTCCATTTCCTTGTGTCATCTTTTATTTCTTGAAGTAGTGCTTTGTAGTTTTTTTTTGTTTGTTTAGGTTCTTTACCTCTTTAGTTAAGCTGACTCCAAGGTACTTGATTTTCCGAGGCACGATTGTGAACAGGATTGTTTTTAATATCTCTTTCATTAATTGTATGTGGGAAAGTTATGAACCTTTGGGTACTGATTTTATAACCTGCCACTTTACAGATCCATTGTTTCTAGGAGTTTTTTGGTAGAGTTTTTAGGATTTTCTAAGTACAGTATCATGCCATCTGCAAATAGTGAGAGCTTGACTTCTTCCTTTCCAATCTGGAAGCCCATGGTGTCCTTTTCTTGCCTAACTGCTATGACAAGTACTTCCAGTACTATATTGAATAGAAGTGGTGAGAGTGGACATCCTTGTCTTATGCCTGATCTTAGAGGGAAGGCTTTTAATTTTTCCCTGCTGAGAATAATGCTTGCCGTGGGTTTGTGGTAGATGGCTTTGACTATACTGAGGAAAGTTGCTTCAACTCCCATTCTGGTGAGTGTTTTAGGTCTGAGCATTCTTGGGCTGTCCTGTCTCCTGCTCTCCGCACCCCCCCATCTCTCTCTCTCTCTCTCTCTCTCTCTCACTCTCTCACTCACTTGCTCACTCAATCTCTCTTGCATTTGGCTGTGTTCAGGGGTTACTGCTGGTGGTGCCCAAGGGACTATAGGGGGATGCTGGGGGTGAGGTGGTTTTGTGAGATAAATGGAAGGAGGGAGGAGATGGCCACTCTTGGGAATCTCAAGCACATTTTATTTTTTATTTTATTATTTTTTAATTTTAATTTTTATTAGTGAGACATCATGAGGTACAGTTGCAGACTTACACATTTTTGTGCTTGAATTTCAACTATACAATGATCAAATACCCATCCCTCCACCAGTGCCCATTTTCCACCACCACAGATCCCAGTATCCCTCCCACCCGCCCCCCCCAACCTCCCCCCATCCCACCCTGCCTCTGTGGCAGGGCATTCCCTTTTGTCCCCTCTCTCTCTTATTCCAGCACGTTTTAACAGCAGGTATAGCGACACCTCCACTGGGAGCCCCAGGTGGGGGTGGGGTTGCTGGGGGCTCTGAGGTCTGCTGGATTCAAAGTCTTTGTTTTCCTTTTCAGCATTTTCAGATTTTCTCAATTTTCAGGCATACTTATAAAAATTTTTTAAAGGAAAAAAAATTTCAGAAACTGGGAAGTGCCCTATAGTTGATATAAGAATCTCCGTGAATTTCTGGGGGTGAGGTGGGGAAGAAGGGGGCCATAATTGGTTCCTTTATCTGAGCCTGCCCCTTAGGGAATTCTGCTGGGGAGGAGCGCCCCCTG